CCGCAGTCAGCAGGGACACCCCCAACTAGACCAGGTTGCCCAGGGCCTCATCGAGCCTCTCCTTGAATATCTCCAGGGATGGGGCCTCAACCACCTCCCTGGGCAACCTGTTCCAGTGCTCCACCACCCTCACAGTGAAGAACCCTCTCCTCATCTCCAGTCTAAATCTGTTCCCCTCCAGCTTGAAGCCATTGCCCCTCGTCCTGTCACTGCAGGCCTTTCTAAACAGGCTCTCCCCAGCCTTCCTGTAGGCTCCCTTCAGGTACTGGAAGGCTGCTATTAGGTCTCCCCGGAGCCTCCTCTTCTCCAGGCTGAACAACCCCAGCTCCCTCAGCCTGTCCTCGTAGCAGAGGTGCTCCATCCCCCTGATCATCCTCGTGGCCCTCCTCTGGACCCTCTCCATCAGGTCCATGTCCTTCTTATATTGAGGGCTCCAGACCTGCACACAATACTCCAGGTGAGGTCTCACCAGAGCAAAGTGGAAGAATTACCTCTCTGGACCTGCTGGCAACGCATCTTTTGATGCAGCCCAGGATGGGATTGGCCTTCTGGGCTGCAGCTGCCCACTGCCTGCTCATGTCCAGCTTCTCGTCCACCAGCACCCCCAAGTCCCTTTCCTCAGGGCTGCTTTCCAATCCCTCACCCCCTAGTTTGTATTGGTGGCGAGGATTGTTCCAGCCCAGGTGCAGAACCTTGCATTTGCTCTTGTTGAACCTCATGAGGTTCACCTGGGCCCACCTCTCCGCATCAGAGCTCCCAGATTCCCTTCAGGGAATGGTTTGGTGGTATGCCACAGGTCTCTGCCATCCTCCTCCTGGCTGCCCTCTCCTGTTCTTGGACCTTGATGTCTGTGTTTAATCATCACTCTTGTGCCAAGCACCTTCTTCCCTAAAAACCGCGAGCTTGTTAGCGCATTGAGTGGCACCCCGAGATTGCTCCTAGGGTATGCTTTCTCTCTCAGAAAGTGTGGCTAAGGGTTGCCTGTGCTCCTCAGCTACCCAGGTAACTCTGTCACCTCTTGGCTGAGTACAAGTGCTAGGAATTCTATTCAGAACAAATGCCAATGCATTTTGCTTTTTTTAAAAGACTCCCACCATTCATTCCTTACTGTTTTTAAGAAAAACCCAGAAATCAGACAGATTAATGTCTTGCAACAGCTTCTCTGGAACCCAGCACTTCCAACCTCAGAATGCCTTCCTGGTGGCTCCTCACTGCCCGAGCATGGAGATCTCCAAAACCACTCACCAGCCTGAAGTGGGAGACAACAACTGGCTTCCTCATGGTGGGGCAGGAGCTCTCACTGGTGATGCTGTGCCAAGGGTTAATTCTGAGGATGTGGGTTATTACAGCTGTCCATGTTGTCTCAATAGCACCTTACCTTTCTGTTGCATTGTAACAAATTCCTTAGAACCAATCTAGGATCATCTGTTTCCTAATAATTGGAGCTGAAGCTTCAACCAACCCTCCTCTCTCTTTTTCAGAATCAGCCTCTGTACAAGGATTTTCTTCATCTTTTCTTTTGCTCAACCCTTCGAGTTCTATAGGATTTAAACCTTGTTCTGTTTTTTCTTTATTGACAATGTCTGGTCCTGTAGGATTTACTCAATGCCTGTGAACTGCAGTTATCATCTTTGTAGCAGACCTTTCCAAGGAGAGTTTTGTATTTTTTCTGATTTTCTCTTGAGCTTAGTTTTTTTGTAACCAGTTATTAGGACCTGTGAGTTTTGTGTAGTACTGTTTCCATGTTCTTCTCAAGTTTATTTTGGCACACAATTATTGCAAGAGGAAAATGGTGCCAATCCATAAGATTAGAGGCTTGCAAAGTTTCTTCTTTGACTGTCTCACTGTGTACCTACCACCTCTGCTTGAAAGCAAGAGGTCTTGCTGTAAGCAGACGTAATGGCACAGAGGCTTGATTATAGGCAGTAATTACTAAGTCCACGTAGCAGTCAGAAGATGTGCCAGTTCTCAGCTAGGAACGCCACCACCAGTCCCTAAAATTTTAATATCTAAAGTACGTGTAACCATGAATAAAGGCACACACAAGCCCTCAGCTGGGACAACATCTGGTCAGGAGAGACGCTTCTTGGGCCTGCAGCTGGTGAGTTTTCAGTCAGCCTGAAGTTAAACTTTGGATGGGGTTAGAGAGATCACGAACACATCTTCCTGTCCTTTTTCAGCATCTAGGAAGTGACTGAAATGGTGGGTAGCGCTCGTGGGGCACAACACGGGCCTGGGTCAGAAGGATGTGCTGGAGCCTCCTCAAGGGACACGAAGGTCTAGACTAAGCAGAGTTCCCAACGCGCCAGTTCAGGTCCTGCATTCACCATGAACGGGGATGCTTTGAAACTTCAGAAATGCATTTTCTCCACTTAAACTCCACCACCAGCAAGAAAAATAAAGCCAGCTTACATACAGAGGCATATATACAGTCTCAAGTTATAATAAAATAATTTTGTTTGAAGAAAGAAGCTTATGAAAATATTTTGGGCCTATTTTCTCCTCTAAGCAAAATAAATACAAGAAACAGAACACATGGAATGCACTCTGGAAAATATATGTCATCATTCCATAATTACAACACTGCAAATAACATAGAAAAAGGCTCAATTCCTTGTCTTATAAATTATCTATACGCCATGCAGTGTTGAGGGGGAAAAAATGCACCAAGTATTTAAAAGATTAAATAACTTATTGAGAGGAGTGAAAAGTGACTGTGACCCCAAGTGTCTATGGGAGAGGGTTTTCATTTCCCGCTGGTGCGTGGCCCAGTCTGTGACACAGAGTAATAGCAATCTGCTGGATTGCATCTTCCAGTGGGTCCCGGTGGCCCCTGCGGTCCAGGTGAGCCCGGTGTCCCCGGTGGGCCCGGCAGGCCAGCAGCTGGCAAAACAAAGCTACAATTAGCAGAGTCCTTGACAGCACACCCAGAGTCAGCTGTGTGCCAGCTCCTCCGCCAGAAGGCAGGTGGGTCTGACCTCAGGCTATGACCAAGCTCACCAGAACCAGGAGAAAGGCCTGTTAGTTCATAAAGAACAATAGCAGAAAGGAAGCTGGAGAGTTGTACCTGCAGGGCCAGGTGGTCCAGGGTTACCGGGCAGTCCAATTCCAGGCTCACCTCTTTCCCCTTTCTGTCCTCTATAACCTACACAGAATAAAGATATGAAAATAAGAGCGTCCTCTTATTATAAACAGTGATCTTTCGTATAGCTCGTTGACACAGAATTACCAAGACAAATGTAAATGGGAAAACACATGCTGACTTCTTTTTCTGAGACAGTTCTTATATTTTCATATTCCTTCTGAAAAATGTGTTCTAGCAGTAACCATCACATCCTCTCCCAGAGGACTCCCGCTCTGTTTGCTGGATGGACCTTTCCCCAAGATTTTAGGTTACCTTCCTGAAGATCCTCTAATAAAAAACCAAATGCATATTCTGCTCCAGTGTTACCTGTTTGATGATGTAAAGCACCAACCCAAAGGCCACCGGGAGTCTGACCACCTCTCCTCTGATAGCCCACCAGCTGAGAGAGACTTGACCCTCTCTGCTCTACATAAATCTTTATGTCTGCACCTTTCTTAGACTGTAAACTGGAATTTGTGTGCTTCCCTACACGTGAGAGAAGACCCACTCCTGCTCCAGCACTACAGAGCTGCTCTCACATGGAGCAAGGCATCTTCAGAGCTTGGGCAGATCATGGCTTTTAGCATGCAAAGCCTACTTTGACCCAAGCGCCTGTGTATTGTTAATAAGGTGTGATTACTAATTATAAGTTGAATATTTGCATTAGTTTTCTTCACAGGCCATAGCTTTGCATTTATCTAAATAGCTTCTGTCTTCTTAAGTGCTGCAATTCATGCCCAACCTGTTTCTTTTTCCATAAACAATTTGTAAAGAAAAAATTACTTAGTTGGAAACACTCTGGGTGTTTTAGAGCAAAGGACTTGTGGGCATCAGTATAACATTTTGTTTAATATTTCAAGTTAAAAATCCATCTAAAAATGTGGCTTTTCTATTCAGACCATGTAATCTATGTAGGACAGGGGATTAAGGTATTTTTAAAGGAACAAATATGACACCTGCCACAACCCCTTACTTTAAAAGGGATGGTAAGGAAACCCTCTTCCCTCCCCATGGGCATGTAAGGTGACGTATGCTGAAGATTAATTTGCCAACTCCTGATCACATTTGGAATTAAATTTGCTCTGCTTCAGGGACTAGTGTATTTCCAGTCACGTATGCCATACAATTAACTTCCTCTTGTGAAGAACTGCAACTTAGTCTGAATTAAAAGAGAAGAGCCAAGGGCTGAGCAGTCAGCAGCGTGGCATCAATCCACCTTATGTCTCATGGAGATTAATGGGCACTGACGGATGGATGGCAAAGGTTGTCTTGTCAGTGTACTGTGGTCTGTGGCAACACTGGTACCTTACAGGACAACTCCATGGGCTGTGGGTACCAATTCTGGGTTGTTACAACAGGAAAAAAGCAGTAGGAATGGTACGCACTATTCACACTTTCCGTTAAACACAAGCTCACTATACACTTTGGCAGAAAGTCTGTTGCAATCATTATAGACTTCCAAACAGAGCCTCTTACTCAAGTCATCTCACTCTTCTCTCAGCATCCCAACGAGGCAAAACCATCAGAAAATGCATGCAGAGCGACATGCAAAACCTCAGGAAAGGAGATCAACTGTTTAAAAGCTCACAGAGAAACAATATTAATCATGCATTCTGGTCACTGAGTTGTGTTAAGCAGACTTGTACAAGGCATATATGCACACAAGCTATATCCAGAAAAGGGAATATGCTGGTGGTTGTATTCAATTATGAATCTTGATTTTTCTCTTTAATGACCATGTTAGTATTTATAACTACATCAGGTTGGTTGGCTCTGAAAATCTTGTGTAATATATAGTAGTTACTACTGTTTGAGACGCTCAATCACACAACCACAGGAGCTGCTACAATTCCTATTTATTATATATATATCTGTGCTTCCTAATTTACAATAGACAGTTACAGTACATTTCTCCTACAAACCCAGTTAATTTTAATTTTACAAAGTAGTGCTGCCACTTATAATTTGTTTTGCATTTCTTCAGTTATGGAAAAAAGAGAGAGATCACATTTACGATGTATTCCATTTACAAGCTCCATGAAAACCATCACTGTAGGTATCCAAGACAATAAGGAAAAAACAACCTGCAATAGCACAAAGAGCAACCTGCCAATGCAAAGGTACGACCCAGGGCAGTGTAAACCATTACTGGCTTTATCTGCATACACATGGAAATGTGTAATTTGTACACAGTGGCAGGTATGTTCTGTTGACACTGAAGTTTAATACAAAAATACTCAGATAGCTTTTCTAAAAATAAGGCTTTATTTAACAAGGTGTAAGCATATTAGCAAACAGGCCTATATGTAAACCATTGGAAAAATGTAATGTGTAATTCTAGCAGGAAAATATTTGATTTGTAATGAGGTATATTTTGCTCAGAAGTAGGACCATGATTACACTTCTAGAGGATAATATCACCTTCTCTCTGAGCTTAAAGTGACAAACTTATACACAGTCAAAAGGAAAACGTTACCATACACTTTAATCAGATTTTGATTTACTGTTTTCAACATAAGGCACATACAAGATGCGGTCTATTTTTACTGGCAGAATTACAATTCCAGTAAGAGGTACCTGGTTATTCAAAAGGTGAGCGCTTTAGCAAAGACTTTCACTCGGGTTCCAGAAGTTTGGCTGTAACTCTGCAATCTAAAAGCTGTGGTATGTAAACATGTACCCAAAGTGGGTAGTACTAAGTGTTAGCAGTACACAGCAAGTACGTGTTCAAACAGATAAGCTTTCTTCTGCCCATGTACGAGTGGTGACAGCTACAACATGGCCCTCAGCTTGGTGTTCTCCACAAACATCACGGTCAGAAGCATCGCAGCCCCAACTCCCTCAGCTCTACTTGGAAGTGACACAAGCTCATGTCTATGAACTTGGAGGGAAAAATTTCTCTCATTTAAAGAGCTCCAAAAAGTATTCCACCTATACCATAGAGACCCTCTTCTATTCGCATGGGCAACTGAGCACCTGTAACTGGCATGTCAAGTATCTAGAGAAATCTGAGGTTCTTTAACACAAATATGAGGCAAAGACATTACCCCAACAGGGAACAATGAGACCGAAGTACCCACTGTGTTTTACTGTGCAAATATCCTGTGTTCATAAAAACAAACAACTGTGAAGCAACAGGAAGGGTGCTAAGAGCAAAGAACAGTTTACAGCAGGTAATCCTTGAAACCAGTGCAGCTATTTCTGAAGAGTCACTGTGTCTGGACAATATCCATTACAATGGATTCCTGGTATCAGCCAAGGTTTCTAGATGCTTCCACCATGCAAATTAATAATTATAGTAAGAGATATGCATTTTACAACAGAGATCAGCAATAAAGATAAGGAATTTCGACTATTCATCACATGGTATTTTTCTTCCCTGAGCTGTGATGTTTGATTCCTCCAGGCTACCATGAGTTATGAGGACCTATAATAAACTCCTGTTTCCTTAATTTGATAAAAAGAATGAAGTTTAACTAAGATGTAACCTTCTTCTGTCTGTTGAGAAAAAAAATCAATATTCATATTAACGTAAGGATAATATTCCAAGATGAATTTTTTCAAATGTTCCAAATTCACTTTCGATTATATTTTTAATAATCCAATTAGTCAGTGGAGTTAATTGAGCTAGATCCTCTAACACATGACAAGCTGGCTGACTGCAAATGGATGACATTTTCATAGCTTGTCTATTAAGTTTTGAAATAAACTTCCTGTACAAGACATCAACATCCTTTAAAACACATACAGAGTAAACAGTTCCTCTGCTCCCCCCTTAGGCAGATGCTGTACACCTCGCTGGTAACACTGCCTCAGAGTATCAGCTTGCTGATGCACATGCCATAGTTAGTTTTTTAAATGCAGACACATATAGATATATATATAAATTCCAACCACTATTATACGAAGTCTGTTTAAATGCCAGTTGCATATTTCATCATTAATGTTGCAATGCTGTTATTTTTTGTTCGCTTGCTATATTTATACTAAGACTACCACATAAAATCAAAAGTATTTGTATCTGGGAAGTACCTGAGTATGAACAATCTTGATTAAGGCCACCAGGTAACATTCTGGACTTCATTAGAAATGAATGACTCTATTCCAAGAGTCTAGCAATTTCTTAAATACACACTTTGAAGGCCACGCCTAGACTTTCAAGACTTAGCATCTGTGTTTTCTGCTTCTGGGACCAACCCTTACCTATTGGTTTCCTGTGCAGAAGGATGTTCTGGTGGAATCTGGCCAGGCCAGGCCAGTTGCCAAGGGAACTGACTTGACACTTGAGGGACCCCTGCGAAGCTGCAAGTTAAGTACCTCCTTGGACACAGGGTGACACCTGCCCTTCCTGCTGGCTGGCTCTGGCAGACTCTCTGCTCAGCTTGCAGCACCTCAAACTGCTCTGGAGTTGCTTGTAGAGGTCCTGTTAATTGCTCTCCAAAAGTATCTGCTTCTTTTCACTGACTGAATGGGACAAGTGACTGACTCACTCTGTCAGCCCAGATGTGTATTACCGCTCACAACAAAACCTGATCAAAACCCTGGAGCTAGCAATCTGGGCTACAACCAAGCAAGAAATATAATAACGAGTATCTGGCAGTCAGTACCAAATGTGTGTTGGCTTGGGGAGCCGTGCACACAGCATGCTACCTGGATGGTCTCAGCCACACGTGCACGTGACATGCTTCTCCAGGAGGTCTCGTCCACTACGGCTTTTATGGCTGAAAATAAGCTGCAATATGGAAGGATACTTTTCCATCTGCTCTGAGATTTGAATTTCTTTTTGCTGTTGGTATAAAAACATGCGCAAGTACAGCTGGGAAAGGCATGAACAGTATTTGTAAGTGTGATTCTCTCACAGTACTCAGAGTGTAAAAAGGAGGCAAGACAAATTTTTAGTTTTCTTTCCTTGGAAATATAATTTTATATATGTTTTGATGTATCAGAGAAGTAAATGCTTCTCACTTAGCTTAAGTTTTACTAATCAAAAAAAGGTATGCAGCATCTTGGTAAAATACATGGAAATCCTGTGTACACGGGGCACTACTTTTACTTTAGCATAAGGCTAAAAAAAAAAGCGGCTTTTTTTTTTCCAAGCATATCTATCATCTTTACTCTTGATGCTCACAAGCCAGAAATGAAGCCTAGTACAACGTTCCACATCCCAGAAGCATCTGAGGCTAGCCACCACATGCAGCATCATTGAAGTCGATTGTTTACAGTGATCTGAATATTTAGGTAATGATGAAGTCAGTGTTGTAAGATCCTAAGACTTTTATTGTTTTCCTTGATCCTTTATTCTTGTTCTTCTCATTCTGAGCTCATCACATTTTTCAAGCTTCTGTCAGGGATTTGCTCTTATCAGTGTTAGTAAGTCTTTATTCTTCTGATAGCTTTAGGATGCACACATCTTCAGCTTTGCTCTCATGTTCTTCATTCCAGTCTGACTTGCTCTGACTCCAGAGCAGACCAAACTAACAAAAGATAATAAAGAACTACCTACAGATAAACTGCAAATTACATATTACCCACAAAATATTATTCATTGATAAATTCTTTTTTGCTTTTATTCTGTTCTCCTCTTCCTTTTAATCTCTGACAGGCTGACTCTGCAGTGGAGCCCAGCTACAACGAGGCTGGATCCCTGGAAGTTCCCTGCAGTGAAGTTCAGCGGAATGAGAGTCCTGTGGATCCCTGGAAGCTAGCTTTGCAGTGAAGTTCAGCGGAATGAGAGTCCTGCACTGTCTGAACGCATTGCAATGCACCAGTTACCATTTGGGTCATAGTGAAAAGCTGATTACTTTGGAACTGATTTGTGAAAATAGATTACTTCACTGTAAGAAGGATTCAGCAGTAGTATTTCAGTTTTCACTGCTTCTTAAAGAACCGTATTTACCTTCAGTTTATCCACCCTTGTGTTGTCTTAGGATCAGAGCTGAGAGCACTCAGACTTGGAGATCCAGTTTTGTTACTTAAATAAGATGGTCTCTCAATATGGAACAAGATCTAAATAGTTACATTAGAGTGCTGGCATAGGTTTTCTTCCTTTTTAAAGTATTTTGGGGAAAAAAATAACTGCTACAGTAGTCTAGATATCTGTCAGCTTTAGGTATCTGTCAGTAATTAACTTTATCATTTATTAGAATAAAATGCACCGATTAGGAGTTTTTAATCAAGTAAAATCCACACATCTACTACGGGTTAATATTTAGATCTAGTCTGGAAAAACATAAGTACAGTTTTAAAAGTTAATCATTAGGAAGCTAGATGGATAATCCTTGCTTATTTAATAATCATTAGCAAGTGTATAAATATTTCAAGATACAACTCATGGGAACATTTTTTGGAATTCCTACCTTGAATTCCACGTTCTCCTGGAGGTCCTGGCAAACCGTCCCTTCCTGGTGGCCCTGGTAGCCCATCTTTTCCTGGGGGCCCTGGTTTTCCATGTGCTTGGGAGGCAAGCATGGCAGCAGGCAGCTTCAGCTGGGATACAAACTGAGCCATCCTTTCTTCATTACCAACAGGCACAAGAAAAAGTGGGTAAGAAATCTGCTAGCAAAGTACAAGAAAATAAGTAAATCCCAAAGCCCCAGCTAAAGGAAGTTTCTGGAAGTAAGGTGTTCAATTCTTCTAAATGTCAAGGCATTTAATAGTCCCCTAAGTACTGAAGTCTTCAGTTCCAACTCAGACTCATGTCTAAGTCTTTACCCTTTGAAATAATCTGAATTAATTTGTACTAAAGCTTCTATTACAACTCTCTTTTTACTAAAGTATTTCAGTATTTCAGATGACTCCTTACTCCTGTTCATGGAAGTACTTAAAATATGTGAACAGCCCTATAAAGGGCTACCTTGTTTGTTTGTAACATATATTAAGTTGCAAAGCAGAGCTTAAATGCTGCAAACCATTCTTGAAATGTGCTGAAACCTTGAAAACAGCTGTGAAAAAACCTATAAATCCTCAGTAAACATTATTAGTTGCAGAATTTCGCATGAACTGTTGATGCTGGTGGAATAAAGTGCACTTGGTAACATTTCAGTGTTCCTTAGAGGTAGACAAAAGAGGTACTAACTTTGAATCTTGTCTCCTTTACATTGGGTTAAAAAAAACTTAACTAAGCATTCCACAACTTAGCTGGTACTTACTGTGGTAGAGTTTTAAGATTTAAGAAAAAAATAACAGTAATGAGAAGAGTGGTCATCAAACAAAAAAATAAGCAAGGTGATAGAAAATAAGCAAAGTGAAACAAAGCCAAAAATCGAAGATTTCCAGGAACATTAGTTAGGTATAGAAAATGGAATAGCTATACACTGGTGAGTTATAGAAAATGGAATAGCTATAAAGACTAAAACCAATATTCCCTGTAAGTAGGACACTTTTAATATACTTTATTTTCTTGAATAGACTAAACACTTGTTACCATTCCATCTGAATAGGAAAAGGAGGTAACTTCAGCCAACAAACTGCTCCTGAAATACATAGTAGGTTGGAGTCCTAAGGGGTAGCAGTCTGGGGAAACGTGAAAATATACAAAATGACAGCCTTATTAAAAAGTGAAAAAATGCCTGAATAGTTCAAAGTCTCACACTTTATATGGTCTCTTTTATCCCTAAAAGTTAAAAGGTTTTGTATCCGCAAATAGTAACAACAAAATAGCTAAGCATATGGGAGGCATAAAAGAAGCTATTGTTAAAAGATGCTCTAGCAGAAGCTTAAGATACATACCTGAGTCACAGCTTTTCAACCCTGACTAAGAAAATGCCGGGAAGAAAAATATTTCCTTTTCAGAGCAAGGACACACCTAAGAAAGCTTGTTACATAGTACTAAGGCCTTGGCTGAATGTGGCACTGGCCTAAAACTGTGCCCGAAGTTAGTGGTCTGCAAAAGAGCTTTGGAGCTCAGTGGGGCTGTTTGCTGAAAATGCACAGCAGTTCAGACCTGCACAACTGAATGCTGCCAAGTCTTTCTCTCATTTAGACAGTCACCACTAAGCAGCCAAAATAATTAGATATTTCTATTGTTTCTGCTTAAATAAATCTCCAGTGTCTTACTGCATATACTGTAGGTACCTATATATATGATATATTATTGCATATATGCATGTATCTACACGCATACATAGATATGTTTGCTATTATGATTTGGAGTAAACTACTTTTTAATGCTAATCTTTTAAATAAGGAAATACTCTATTCAACAGATACTTACTTTATAACTGTTTGAACATAATAATGTTAAGTAGACTTAAACAACAGTAAAGCATAGCTACTAAACAACTACTAAGTTCAATGTAAGTTAGATGACATGTAAAGAAATTTAAATGAAGGCTATAGGGATCTAAAACATTTAGAATAGAATTTAAGATTTACATTTCGTTGAATAATACTTCAGTTTCTTACCTTCAAAAACCTTAAGAACCTCTTGCTTGATATATTTTTTTATTTCCTCAAGTGAAACTGGATCACCCTGATGAGGAAACAAAAAGGTGTTATGTAATCAGAAGAAACCACACAGAGGACACTTTATGATGCTAAAAAACCAAAAAACCAAGCTGAAATCTAGCATTAAGTGTGTAAAACTTTCCTGAAAAAATAAATATGTTAACATATTTGTGTCATTCACTTGACTGCAAAGGCCACTTTATTGCAAACACATTATAATATTGTAAAGACCACTAATAGTACATGTGGAGGCAAACCAAGGTATGTACAACTGAAAGGAAGCATTCAATTTGTGATTTCTCTTTCTCATTTGCAAACATTTACACTTTAGCTCCCAAGTTTATGAAAAACATAAAAATCAACAGTATGGAGTTGCCATTATAGATTTTGCAGAAGAAAAATAAATAATTAAAGTTTATCCATAGCACATGTTTAAAACCAAGAAAAAATAACTACTTGATCACCTGGGTATATTTTTCCACCTCTGCCAACCGAACACTGAAATTAACTGTTATCTTAGTTTTTCTGATACTGTGGTATTGCTCAGCTGATTTTCCACTGCTCAGCACACACTACCTTCATATCTTTTGACTTTACAAGCAACCAAGGAAAACTTGTACGTTCTTACCAGAAATCCTGGGGGTCCTGGTGAACCTGGGGGACCCTGATGACCTGGTGATCCTGGATAGCCTCTGTCTCCTGGTGGCCCAACAGGACCCACATCCCCCTTTTCTCCTGATGGGCCAGGTTTCCCTCGTTCGCCTTGTGGACCTTTGTCCCCTGGAATACCCTGATCTCCCTGTGGAAAATAAAATCAGAAAGGAAACCACTGCACACAGTGGAACCAACTAGGAAAAGTCAAAATGCTAAAAAGAAACTTCTTCCCTGTTCAGAAATAGATTTTATGAGTAATGCTGGGAAGCTGATTTTACAGGATAACCCTTGTCTCTGAAAACAGCAAGTAAGGTTTTGTTCTCTTACACTTTTAATGTTGAAGACAATGACAAAAAAATAGCTTGACTCTGTAACCTACTTTTCAAGGACAGAACGTGGGTGCAGAAAAATTATAGCCCTTATACAAGGATCTAGAAGTGTTAAATATGTCATAGGTAGAATTTAGGTGCTCAAATTCCTCCACGTACACAGCATCAGGCTTTTTTTTTCCTGTAGCTTTCCCTAGAAGCTTAATATTGTATTTCTGCATGTACACAAAATTTTGGTTAATCAAAGAAACAACAAGTACACAAATCTGTTTATAAGGAGTGAACTCCTTGCAAACAACATAATTTAAAGGTCTGGCCAGCAACAGCTTCCATCACGGGCTCAGATGGCATTTAAATTTGTTTTCTTTGTGAGCATTTAAATATTTTAGAAAGACCCAATGTATTAATGTATTAGCTATTAGTTCACTGAATGACAGCTGTGGAGCAGAGGGCCGCAACTTCCATGTTCAGATTGTTGATGTTCTGCTGGCAGCTCTTACGGGTCACTGTCTGCCCTCTTGGCATCACTGCTAATATTAGGCTCCACCATAAGCAGCGAACAGCACCGAGAATTGACTACATCATTGCTAGATTAATCCAGAATCTACATTTACAAGGGGTGAATGAATGGAATTAATTGCATTCTTAATCTACAGCGAGTGCTGGTAAACTGTATTCAGGTCTGAAACATCATTGACTGATAAACCAATAAAAGTGTTAGTTATATTCTTAAGTCATATTTACATGACATGTAAAGATTGAGAAAAGAAAGAAAGGTAAGAATGCATATAGGAGGCTGTATAACATTTTTATCCCCTAGCTCTCCTCCCATCTGTATGATTTCCAGTGAGTTAGAGCTGATTAGTCACTACAATTAAGCTTCACTACAAAGACCACTGTAACTTGTGATGTTTTATTGCATTAGCTTAAATCATAATGCATTCCCAATTGGAGCTTAAATTGCCCTCAACAGAAGTATAGAGGCTCCGAACTCTGAAAGTGTATTGTAGAGAAAAAAGCTCTAAGTGTCAAAATATGAGACCTCATCATCTCACACCTATAATTTTAAACTCTGTGGTGGGTTGACCTTGGCTGCCTGTCAGGCACCCACCCAGCTGCTCTCTCGCTCCCCCTCCTCAACAAGACACAGGCAGAAAATGAGGTGAAAAGCTTGTGAGTCAAGATGAGGACAGGGAGATCACTCACCCACTACCCTCAGGGGAAGATTAATTTAATTTATTGTGAATTAATAACAGACCAGGATAGTGAGACCCTCCCCTCAACCCACTCCTTTTCTTCCCAGGATCAAGTTTAGTCCTCCCTCTTCTAGCTCCTGTCCCCTGGCAGTGCAGGGGGGTGAGGAATGGGGGTCACAGTCAGTCTTTCCCATGAGATACAGTCCTTCATGAGCTGCTCCAGCGTGGGTTCTTCCCATGGGCCGCAGTTCTTCAGGAATGGACTGCCCCAATCTGGGTCCCCCATGGGATACAGTTTCTTCCTGAAAATTTGCTGATGCGTAGGATCCTCTCCATGGGCTGCAGCTCCTGCCAGGAGCCTTCTCCAGGGTGGGATCTACAGGCTGCAGTTTCTTTCAGGGCACATCCACCTGCTCCAACATGGAGTCCTCCATGAACTGCAGGTGCTTTTCTTATTTATCAAATAAATACGGTATCAATCATATTAGGACATCAGGGCTTTAATAAAGTTATAAGAGAAGCAGGGTATCCACAAGGATTTTCTTTGCTCTAGCAAAGTAACGATCACCTCTCACTTCCTGAGATGATTCCTGCCCACCATGACCTCATTCATTACCATGAACAGAGCTGCCTAAACGGTTTGGCAAGCAGTAAGGTATTGCACTGCCATTCCTGCTGCCTAAGTGAAACAAGCTTGTTTTACATAAAACATTATTTGTGTTTGTGACATATGAAGCTCCCAGGAAAACTTTATAGCTCTTGCAAAGCGTGATAGCATCACAATGAGATTAGCTACTTTCTGATTTTCATTCTATTGATCAATTTACACTGTCTGGGCCAACTGTGCTAGAAAGTCTGTAAAATGCATTTTTTCCTCTAAATGCAGAAGCCAATTCAACTCTAATTCCTTCAAATGGTGTCTAGGACTAAACCTTTTAGCTGTCTAGAGGGCTTGAAGTTCACAGGAAATTAATTTCTTGGGTTTGCCTGTAAAGTGTGCATTAATGAGGTGCTTAGATGTGAAAGTGAAAGGAAAAAGGTTATTAAAACAAAGGACTTACACGTTCTCCTTTGGGCCCTCGGTCTCCTGGTCTCCCCACAGCACCCTGAAAAATTTTTTGGAAAAAGGATAAACATATCACTTAAAGGCTTTGTTCTATATTCATCTGTTAGCAGAACTGAAAGCAACTGTCTAGAACGAACAGCTATTGAATATGTGAAGAATAAAATAAACTAGTATGCAAAAGTATGTTTTCCTACCGGAGGACCTGGCAATCCATCTTTTCCATTGACTCCCTAGAAGAAAAACAAATGTCTTTTAAAGAATTATGGTTATGTAGAAGCTTTTTAAGAATATAAAGAATAAAGATCAAAGTTTAGTGCTGGTATCAGTACATATTCTGAAGCTGTGGAGGCAGTAGCTTGTGTGGTTAAATTACTGAAATACAAATGGAATCACAGAATTGTTTTGGTTGGAAAAGACCTTTAATATCATCAAGTCCAACCATTAACCTAACACTGCCAAGTTACCACTAAACTGCGTCCCTTAGCACTACATCTAACCATCTCTTAGATACCTCCAGGGATGGTGATTCAACCAATTTCCTGGGCAGCCTGTTCTAATGTTTGACAAACATTTCAGTGAAGTAATTTTTCCTAATATCCAATCTAAACTTCCCCTGGCACAACTTGAGGCCATTTCCTTTTGTCCTATTGCCTGTTCCGTGGGAGAAGAGACTGACCCCCACCCTCCTTTCAGGTAGTTGTAAGAGAGCGACAAGGTCTCCCCTCAGCCTCCTTTTCTCCAGACTGAAAAAAAACGAGTTCCCTCAGCCTCTCCTCATAAGACTTGCTCTCTAGATCCCTCACCAGCTCCGTTGTCCTTCTCTCGACATGATCCAGCACCTCAATGTCTTTCTTGTAGTGAGAGGCCCAAAAGTGAACACAGTTTTCAAGGTGCAGCCACCAGTGCTGAGTACAGGGGGACAATTACTTCCTGAGTCCTGCTGGCCACACTGTTTCTGATACAGGCCAGGATGCTGTTGGCCTTCTTGGCCACCTCATATTCAGCCAGCTGTCGACCTACACCCCTAGGTCCTTTCCTGCCACACAGCTTTTCAGCTATTCTTCCCCAAGCCTGTAGCACTGCATATGGTTGATGTGACCCAAGTGTGCTTGGCCTTGTTGAACCTCATCCCATTGGCCTCAGCCCATTGATCCAGCCTGTCCAGATCCCTGTGTCGAGCCTTCCTACCCTCCAGCAGATCAACACTCACACCCAACTTGGTGTCATCTGTGAACTTACTGAGGCTGTACTCGATCCCCTCGTCCAGGTCGTTGATCAAAATATTAAAAAGAACAGACCCAGTGCCAAGCCCTAGGGAACACCACTGTGACCGGCTGCCAACTGGACTTAACACCATTCACCACAACTCTTTGGGCCCGGCCACCCAGCCAGTTTTTACCCAGCAAAGAGTAAGCCCATCCAGGCCATAAGCAGCCAGTTTCTTCAGGAGAATGCTATGGGAAACAGTGTTAAAAGCTTTACTAAAGTCTAGGTAGACAAATAGTTTTGAAGCATGCGAAAGCTCGGGGCCATACCAAACTGCAAGAACATTACATTTGAGCTGAGGGCAGTGCAAAAAAAAAAAAAAAAAAAAAAAACTTCGGCATCAAGACACGCATCAACTTTAATGAGCACGCAATTTTTAATGACAAATTATATGGGAGTTCTGCAAGCATGTGAAATGGACCTGTACATGCATTTTTCCAGTCCTGGCTAGCCATTATGCAAACATAAAAGAGATTGCTCTTATTTTAGATATTAGCACTGATGTCCCATTAACCCTCTGCTGTTACAGAGATTACACCTTAATCTCTGTGGCCAGATCCGTTCCTTGGTCCTTAGGACCTGTGCCACAGCACAGCTTCAGTCTCCTAGGACTTTCCCTTGCCAAAAGAGGGGGGGTCACATTCATACCATCTCCTGTAAAGAGTCCTAGTGTCACATAATCCCCCAAACTGGAACATGGCATTATCTCAGAGGGTGCTAGTTGGCATGGACCAAAATGATGTCAGAGAGTACATCAACAATTGCAGAACACCAGATAACTGTAAGATTAATGCTCTGGCACTGTTTAATTTACCAGGATATACACGAATCTGCACATGCAGAAAACTCTCTGCTATTTTGGTGAGTGAGAAAGAAGGATTTGCATGAGCAGAGACACCAGGAATATTTTCTTCCCTTGCATACTGCAAAGGGGGTTTTGCACAGACTAGGCACCTTGGGCCAATTTGCTGCTAAAGTTACAAAAAATTATCTCTTATTTCAAGACAGAAGCATACTGTTGTGATATGCTAACAAACACAAAGAGTTTGCTTCTCATGCTAGTCCCTGAAACACCAAGAGTAGGGGGAGATAATGAATTCTGTGCTACCCTAGCTGAACCACTTCTGGAATATAAACTAGGTTGTTTTAAACCGGCTCAGACAGTGCTGACTACACTGCTGTCACACGTTTATTAAATAAAGAGGTCAGATTAGACATATCCTAAGTGAACAATAAATGCTTCAGCCGCAGTGCTGCATCACCTACACACAGAACAGTTGTGAAGTTTATTCAGTCATGGAGCACACACTTCTCTATCTAAACCAAAACCAAGAATGCATTTTGTCACCCCATCCTTTATAGACTGTTTTGAGTGTCTGTGTTAATATTCTCCTTCTGAAAAAATGTGAGAGGATCCTTTAAGTCAACAGGATCCAAAGGACCCTCATAAGACCTTTAAAGGTAACATCTCAGTATCATTAACTATTAAAACACCACAATACTAGGAATTCTTGACTGGGTGGTTAATAATGGGCACAGTAGTTCTAGGTGTTCTTCAGATATTATAAAATTGCTTACTGGTTTTCCTTGTGGCCCCTCTGGCCCAGGGAAGCCTATGTCTCCTATAGGTCCTCTTTCACCCTAAGAAAGAAGAAAAGACACATATAAATTTGCATGTAAAATCCTGCATTCAGTGTTTGAAATATTTGTGCAATAACCTAAGAGTCCAGAACTTGAATCTGTACTTACAGGTTCCCCTGGCATGCCTGGGGACCCAGGAGATCCTGGCTTTCCCTGCAAAAAGACAACATTACAAATTAAAATGAATAGGAAGCAAAACATAATTTCTATTGGGTCAAAAATAAGAGACAATATATATTTGAGTGAAATATTCATGTTACATCTCAATAAATTCCTTAAGAGAGGAAAAAGAAAAATTTTATCAGATTTTTTAATCTTTGTGCCATGTTAACTTGGCTCTTTTGTACAACATAACTCAATCACTTGGTTTTCTTTGTCCTTTCTGAATACTGACATAATGTTTTCATGAAATTTTCTTTTACAACGCCAAGATTTCCTTCTCAAGAAGTCATAGTCAGATCAATGTTTATCCCTTTATATGTGAAATCAAAATTTTCTTTTTCCCCTCAGGTACTTCCTAATTCTGATTTTTATAAAATCGTGTTTATTACTGACTTAATGCCTTTTGCAAATTTTCTTCATGCTCTTTTTTTGGCCACTTTTATTGTCATTTTATGATCAGCTTGCCAGAACTCACAATGCTTTCTCATCTTATCATTTAGATGGTGATTTTAAATATCTATTTATTAAATGATGCCTTGCATTTAACAACCTATCTTGTTCAGCCCCAGACAAGAATCTATTACCCTGAGTCGACATTTCCTGGAAATATCCTTAGACCAGATTCTCAGCTGACTTGTACAAATGAGGGATCTAACAAATCAACACCAGCAACAACTTCAGGACCAACAGGACTGAAGATTCATGCAGAGAAAATAGGCACTGGTGGCAATCCTTGCAGAATCTCAGTCCAAGCTTCCCTGATAACCCTGCTCAGCAAAAAAACAAAGCTAAAATGAGAGATTTGTTTTCCCAAATTGGGAAAAAGGTTTCACAATTCAATCTAGTGAATCATAGAATCAATAAGGAATGATACCAGAGGAGGAAAAATTCTCCAGCAAGAAATCTGGATATATTTTAAAATATCTTCCTAGACTACTAAAAAATAGTGTCTCTCATTCCTTTATTAATTTGTTAATTAAAATTGTTTAGCATAAAATGTTAAAGCAAATCATTTACTTCTGTGGATTTTATTAGATTGAAGTGTAGTCTACGGAATGAAAGTCCTTCAGTGATGAAGGGAACTCATTAGGTGTATCATATCCAGGTAGCATAGACAGCAGCAAGAATAAACTTGGAACATATCCTGTGGGAAATACCCAGGGAATGAACAATTGTGATCATCCTAACCAGCTACTGCATTATTGATTCACAGTGTGAAACACATTTCAGAACAACAAACTTTGAAACTCTTACGTGGGTTATAAAACTCAGAGAAATACTTCTCTTTTCCCCTTAAACATGCAATTTTACCTTGTTTTAGGAGAACTTAACTACATTAAACTATTTAAGCTGATATTCTCTCTTGGAACTCATAGTAAATACACTAAATCAGTGGCTAATGGAAATAGGAGTGCACAGACACAAACTTCTTATTTCACGAAGCGCATATTTCTAATTTAAAAACAGCTCCTGAATGGATTGGTAGCTGCTCAAATTTAATAATAAATGTATTTGCATATAAATAATGCCATATTGCTTCCTGAAATATGGATAAACTTTTTTATTAAACTGTGAATGCAATCTAAAGAAAAGTTGTCTTCATTTCCTTTAAGAACATAAAGGAATAATTATAATTTCAATTTATCATTAGTTACATTTACTTTCACCTACAACAAAGTTTCTGGATGACTTTCAGAAACTTCTCTGAATAAACTGCTGACAAAGCATTCCCTTAAAGCAAATGTTTGATTGACTTGATAAGCAGAACCTCGTGGATTGCAATAACTAGTGTTCAGAATTTTTCTTTGTGATAGAAAGATGCTCAGAAATTTGTGCATGCCCAGGAACACAGAAAATGTCTTTATCTATATTAAACTGAGGCAATGAGAAGAACCTCATATGCTTTCTCAGCTAAGTATATGCAGCTTCTAATTCCAGCTTTATCATGTATTCACACCATTCCCTCCTGTCATTTTAATAATAATATGAATCCCCAGTGGTATTAAACCCCTAATCTCTTTAGGAAAAACACATCATTTTTATACCTGCCTATAAGGCATTAGCCAAATGCTGGCGTTCCACAAATAGTGATTGAGATCATAGCTCAGCACCTTGCTTGACCTGTTTTTGCAGCTTTTAACAAACTGAGTTTTCTTTAACGAATACACATACCGGTGTCCCTGCTACTCCTGGTGTCCCAGCTGGCCCACGGTCACCCTGAAAAAAAGATAAATCTATACTTAAATGGTAACACTCGAACCTGAAATTTGTTTGTGCATTCCCATTAAAACCTGAGGAAAGATTAGTCAGTGAAGTGAAAATGAGGACAAGAGCCAGGCTCTGCTAAATGCTAATATTTTGCTCTGCCACTGACTCATTTTACAAACTTGAGCACGTAACTTAAATCCTTTGTTTAGGTTCTCTTGTATAATGTCATAATTTCCATGCTATCCCTTATACTCTGCTTGAGATCTTCCTTGAAAAAGGATGGAAAGTCCCCGACTTATCTGTAGTTTTCCAAATAGTTATCATTTGTGGTCATGACAATGACCAAACTTCAGGTAGGGTAATACACCATCAAATCAACATCCCCATATTTAAGACATATATTTAAGAAGTTTTCGCCTTCCCACTATCCAGCCATCCGTTTGCTGCAAGTCAGCATCCTCGATTTGCCTCTGCCATTGTCCTTTCAGGGTAAAGTTTCTCCTTTTACCATATAGCCACCTTCACCTTCGCTTTAAGGTAAGAGCTTTTGTACTGGAGGTGACTAGTTATGGGCACAAAATTCATCTTTCTGTCTGGAGAGGACTATAACCCAAAGCAGAGAGATGGAGCTCACCAGTGGTAATACTCGACACAGAGAGGTTTGCCATAACCCACTGCTGTATTGTCTGTAACACGGCCTCTGCCAGTGTAATGGTGGTAAACAATGTAAGAAGAAAAATCAGGCTATAGTTTCTGTAATCATGTCAGAAAAGCCCCAGCACAATTAATGGCATACTAACAGGAGGGTATTTTTTGTGAGATGAGTTTATGCTACCTGGAGCTGCTGTGCAAAAGCTCTGCTGACACATGCTACAGCCGTGTCCTGTTGTGCAGAAGAACCCCAGGAGGTGTTGGGATTACTGGTGTCTGTTCTTATACCTAACTCTGATTTGTCTCGTGCTTGTAATTTTGCTCTGGTAGCACAGTGACAATGCTGGAGGCTAAGAGAAGTCACCTAATGCAAGTTCACCCCTCAGTGGACATAACGTGCACCTCAGGACCCTTGAGCACTGAGGAGAGGGTGTGAGCACTGTGAGGGTGGTGGAGCACTGGAACAGGTTGCCCAGGGAGGTGGTTGAGGCCCCATCCCTGGAGATATTCAAGGAGAGGCTCAACGAGGCCCTGGGCAACCTGGTCTAGTTGGGGGTGTCCCTGCTGACTGGGGGGGGGTCGGACTAGATGGCCTTTGGAGGTCCCTTCCGGCCTGGACAATTCTGTGATTCTATGGTCTGTATCAGGGCAGGTTGGCTAGAGCACTGCACTGTGTCCCTGTGGTCACTCTGAACCCAGAACTCGTATCGTGGTGTTTTCCCTCTCTGCTGGCTGAGACAGCCAACCCAGAAATTCATGACACCTCCCTTGCAACATTTTTATTTTAAGGGTTATTCTGGTCCTTTCAGCAACATTATTCCCAGCACAGCTGCACAAACCGCTGTGTCAGCACAGCTGAGGGAAGGGACATTTTACCCTGGGGACACAAAATTCATGAAATTACCATGAAATTACAGCCAACATTGTCTGTGGAACACAGCATTCTGCTACACAGATGTATCTAATAGCTGTAAATTAAAAACCAGCATGCACTACACTGTTGGGACTGGCAGGCAGACTCTGGGATTATGTTGATTCATTTGCACTAGAAATGTGGAATTTTGACCAAATTTAGTTACGGAAAGGATATTTTCACTTTGGGCAAGGGCCAAACACTCGCTTAGCGTGTTTATATGATCTGCTCCATTGCTTATTCCCTTTATTTAATTCTGGCCCCCACTTTGTCTCAGTTAGACCTGTAATATCTCCCTGTGTTTGTTTAATCTGAAATCAGACTAGTCTTTAATTGCTTATAAATTGTAGTCTTCCAGAGCAAGAACCATCTCATGTAATTTAAACATCTAGTATAGACCTCTACCTTAGATCTTGTCACTCCCCACTTTCTGCACAAGTAGGAATAATGCACATTCATACTGAGAGAAACTTTTCATTTACATTCTTTTTGATGAAAAAATAGTTTCAGTAAACTATTTTTGTATTAAGTCATTGAGTAACATATAATTCAAAAAGCTGAATAAATATTCCATTTAAAATAAAACTCCCATTTTTTCTTCTTAAATTGCAAAGATACGGGCAAAATGAAACTATTTTCACTGACAGAAAATATTTTTACAGACTTTTTAATTTCTCTGCTAATTTTTTTTTGTACTTTGCCATATTTACAAATGAACAGCAAAATCTTGATATTTTTAGCATTTCATGACAAGTTTTTCTCTAAATTCATATCAGCCTCCGCAACTAGTAAGTGAAAGGCTGAAACACGCAACCAGCTGAAGGAAAGGATCATTTCCTAGCACTGGAATGCAGACTAGAACTACAGGAAGGAGCTGGAGAATATATTATGGTTTGGGATGTGGTACGGTGCCTTCATACATGTAGTACAAAGTGCAAGGAAAGCGAGACAGAAACTAGGGGTCTTTTCAGAATAACGAGGAACAGCCTGAGAAAAGAGGCAAACAGTCTCTCCTATTTCTACTCTTTTATATGTTTTTACACTCATCTGAAATAGTCCTTTTTTGTATGGAAAATTTGCATGCACAAGGTCTAGACTAATTCAGGTACAAACCTCTCTTCAGATCTGCAGCTATGCTGTAAGTCTTAGAACAAGACAGACAGACTGTAAGCATAAGACCATGTTCAACAGAGAACAGGAACCAGTGACCGTACTTAGGAACACATTAGCTATATTACTATCAGGTAATATCGTTATATATAGTATATACAACATAGTATGAAGTAGTATCCTATCAAGTTCAGAAAACCAAATATTACAAGATCTACACATAATTTTCCATTTGCGGAAAAGGAAATTTTATGTTGGTTGAGTATATGATATAGTTCCATGGTAAAGCAAAAAAATGGGAAATGCAGATAAATATGCAAATATTTTTCAAAAAAACCCACTATCTTACACCAAAAAAAACCCCCAAAAAATCCCTCAAACAAGGTTTGAGAAAACATTTAGCTACAGATAGTTGACCAAGATAGTTAACCAAGAAGTTAAGAGGTTTTTTTAAGAGTCCTACCTTTTCCCCTGGGAGTCCTTCCAGTCCTGGTAATCCCATTGGTCCAGGGTCTCCCTGATTATATTTTTTTTAATTAAAAAGTATTACATACATTAGAATTTCTGTTCTTTACATGAGAAATGTTGAACAGCGAGCAACAGCAGCTTATTTGAGATCAGTAAAGCAGCGAATCAGCTAATTAAGTTTTCCCAGAGGCACTGTATGAATATTTGGATCACAGTTTTTAATTTTAACGAAGGATGTAGTCCAGAAGACTCCTCTCCAGTGTTCTTGCAAGCCAGGATCAGCTCTGAAGCACTTCCAGGTAGCAAAGCCCCAGGGTGTAGGCATACGCTGTCAGCCAGAGAAACAACCCCCAGGCAATTCTGTGCCCTGCTGAGCACTGACCCTGCAGCAGGAGACACACGGACCGGGGGCCTGGGCAGGTCTTCAAGTTTTGAAAGAAGACCAGAAACACGCTCCACTGGAGAAATCAGTTTAATGTGTAGAGTGGGGAGGCCCTTTTAATTATTATTATTTTTTTAAAGGGATTTAAACTACAGCCAAAAATTCCAGTATTTTAGTAATTCTCAGTTAAATCAAAAGCCACAGCAAATTCCTGTCTGGATTTCGTGAAGTCTCTGGCAGATTTCACTTTTCACACCTAAACTTGGTTTGGGAGACGGTGCTTCCTGAGTGGGAAGTGGATGCTGGTGCAGAAAGACATATTGGTGAAACAAAAAATGAGGCCTTGTGACTTCTTTTGAAAATAGATTAGTCAGCTGTTTTAGGAAAGTATCTCACAACTCCAGCTGTGAGTGCTGAGGGGTTCTGTTATGGGTTTCTTATGGTCCTTGAGGAGCACAGTTATCACAGTGGTTCATAGATCAAAGTTCAGTTTCTCTTGTAGCTGGCTCTCCATTAACAATTGGCAAGGAATCAAACATGGCCCTAGGCCCTGCACACATCGGCTAAATGGGGATTATGCACCTTCATAGATCTATTAATTCAATTTTCATTTCAAATTGCAATACCATGTTTCAACTTTGCTACCTTCAAGGTTAGGAACTGTAGTGACAAATTGCAAGCTAATGACAAATATAGTTTCTCTATTATAAAGGCAAGTTACATCGCATGCCAAGCACTTTGGGAAAAATGCACTCAATCAGGGCCTGGATCTACATTCTGCTGTCTACGTCAAACTGCACATCTGGAAAGTATAGTGGCTTCCATCATCATCATCATCTTGCTCACCAGAAGTAATGTGATCGTCCTGTAACTAACTGTCATGCCATTCCCAAAGAAAACATCAACTTCTGGTTGTTACTAGCTAGTATGATGTAGCACATTGTCCTTTCTCCCTTATCACTGTCAAATTTAACGTTGAGAACAATTCAATAGCTCTTAAGGTATTTTATACATTTATTTCTCATTCTGTATTCTTGGATATATCCAGGGACAGCTCAGCAGAGATGAATCCACAAGCAGTTAATGCTATGCTCAGGCATTCATTATATTATCACTTAGAACCATTTACCAGAAATCACAAAATTTACAAGCCTGGCAATGAAAAAGGCTTTTTCAAGTACTGATTCTGTGGGAGGTAAGGCACCTACTAAAGAACATTAACAGACTGTTCCACCCTTGTGACTGGGATCATGTATTAAACTACTTGGGGAATTCTCTGTCCTGACCAAAAACTACATACTTACCACTGTGCCAGGATCTCCTTTCGGACCCTGCAAAGAAATGAAGAAGTAGAAACACATTTAAAAAATAATAGAGTTATATAATAAGATTTTTTTTTTGTTTTACTGCATTGTGAGTATACTTTGCGATAATAGAGTTATAAGATTTTTTTTTGTTTGTTTTACTGCATTGTGAGTATACTTTGCTAATGCAGTATATTTAGAATCAGTATTAAGTCCAGCCCTCTCAACCGATCAATTTAGTAATCTTAGTAATATTTGATTCTTGTTTTGCTGTTCCAGAGTACAGAGAAAAACAGTTCTGCAGTCCAGAGTGAGCCTATGACTACAAACAGCACAGAATGTAAGGACAAAGTCCTCACTGATGGTGACAACATTTTTATGTGGTTACCAAAATGACGATCATCTTAAAGCTTGCCTACACTGCCAACAAGAAGGTGCAACGGCATCTTTGGCTCCACAGACCCAAAGCAGGAGTGCCCAGCTGCAGGGGTTGCACCCGCACTCTGCAGCGTGGGGGACGCCAGCCATCGTGTTACTGCCACTGCATAATGCTCAGTTTTACACACTGATTTTCTGCACTGTAGCTGCATGCACTGAGTCAGAGACAGAACCAAGATCAGAATTCATGAGTTTCTCATTTCCAGCACCAAATTAAATCCATTACAAAACTATGCCATCACCAACTATAAATATGGTATTACACATTTTAAGATATTAGGATACTTTCACTAAAGAGTCCAGTATTAAATTATGTACCATTTTTCCAGCCTTTACTTGGTAGGGTGAAATACTTACATTAAAATAAACTACTCTCCAAAATGGACTAAAACGCTTGATAAACACATAAAAATCACATACTTTATAATTTATTACATACCAATCATATCCTTATTTTTGTTATCTTTCAAATATAAAATCAAATTCCATGCCATTTGTCAAAGCTGTATGCACCTAACCAACCCCTCTGTTATGGTGTTAATTAACTATTAGAATATATGTTTCTGTTAATACTCACCGGAGGTCCTGGTGGACCTGGATAACTGGTGACACTCACACCTCCCTGTAACAGCAAGTTTAAAAGTTGAGTTGGGCCAAAATCAGGCGTTGGTTGATAAAAAAATACAGAAACATTAAAGAGAAATACCTGGAGTTTATATAAGCTGCTCATTCCATTTCTTTCATTGTAAGGCATACCCTTTCAAACATAAAAAACAAGTATGTGTTATAACTATGAATTATAAAGGCAGAACTGTTGCCCTATTCAAGCCCCATAGCTGAGCAAAGCTGTGGTATTGTTTTTGTTCTTGATTAATTTTTCAAAGATTCCAGACATTTCAGTAAGAACATAAGATACATACCAATGCAGCTTTGAACTTTTTTTTGAATTACGAAACCAGAAACATGTAAATCTCAGCGTACGTTAAATTTTGATATTTATTATTATTATAATCCTCCAGAATTAATTTTGCCTTAGGTACTATTCCAGTTAATGTGGAGTCCAATGAGGTCCATTCCCCTAGGTCCCCCGAGTTCCCTGATCTCAGGTACCTAAGCTCTCTAAATTACTTTAATAATATTGGACACCACAATTAACTCATTTGACCAAGTTTCTGGATAGCTTTAGCAACCTGAATTTACTCAGCGATGAACCACAAGAAAAAAAAAGGAATACAGAAAACTTTTGCAAAAATATATTGTTTTCTTCCTGCTCTACTAATACCTATTAGATTGACAGTTAATTCTTTATACTACATTACATTTTATTCAAAGGTATATTGTTCCTAATATAATATTCAAAGGATAAAACAAAATGTCTCACCGGAGGCCCAGGTGGTCCAGGTTTCCCAGGAGAACCTTCACTACCCTAGTACAGCAAGAGATTCATATAACTCGTTTACTCTAACTGATGTCCAGAACTATTCCATACCCAAGCTATGATGGCCATAATGACAATAAACAAGAGAAACAGTCAATATGAGTAGATAATATCCAGAATAAATTCTCCTGCTCAGATCCTGCTTAAGCTGTAGGCAAGTTATTAACCATTACTTTATACTAGCTTTTTATTTTGTTAATTACTTGATGCTTTATGTGTAGTAACATCCTTGTGGCAAAATAGTAGTGGTAACCTGGGCTGTGAAACATTTTATATATACCAGGAGAGAGAGCAAGAAAAAGAAGAGTTGTTAATATCAATTTCTAAGCAACTGGCAGATAAAAGTTAACATTCGTTTTATGCTTTGCATATTATTTTGCAAAAATCAATCCTCAGTTGATCATCCACAGGTAAATAAAGAAAAGCTATGGTTTCAGAAGTTCAGTTTATTTAGAAACACGTTGAATAAAAATAAAGATCTTCTTTAAGAAGAGATACAATGAAGACCTTTTTGGCTCTTACTGCAAAATATTCATCTGTGGTTACCAGTATCTGTAGTCTGTTCTGCTGATGGGCTCTGAATTGTTTATATTAAAAAACCCCCAAACTTCTGAGGTTTTGCTGCAACAGAATGATAGGGTCTCTGAACAGAAGAGAATTACAAAGATTTCAACATCAGAACCTTCACAGATCTTTATCAAGACTAAAAAGAAAGAATACCTTTTCGCCTTTTGACCCTGCTGGACCGGGGTGTCCAGGTCTTCCTGTGACTCCCTGCACAACACAGCGTCGCTTTGTATTAGTGAAGGAACAATGAATCACTTTTTATTTAGGTCATTTAAACCTAATTATGCTTCTCCTCCAGGTTTAAATATTTCTCTTCTGTTTGATACAACAGCTGGGTCCTTCCAATAAGCCCTTTGAGGGGCAAAACTTGCGGTTGCGGTTGTGTTTTCACCTTGGCAGACTAAATGCACTGACCTTAACTGGCACCTCTTGATACTGCTAAGAATACTGCTTTAGCAGTAAAGCATCTTTACTGCTAAAAAGCCAATTTATATATTCCACATTAAACTTTTAAAACGTGTTATGATTTTTGAAAGAAGGGAAGCATTACTACTGTCATTAGTACTGACAGCAACCTAGAAATGAATAATGATCATAATGTGATCCTATCTAGTATGTAGAAATCACATTTACAAAAATTTCCAAGAGGAGTTTTCCCAGAAATCCCAACATTTTAAATGGTATTTTTCAGTGACTTTAAATATTCTCAGCTTATTCTGTTATGGTTTTTATTGTGAAACCAAGCGATTACTTGGTTTCAGCATTAAATGTCTTCAGAATGCCTAGCTGGAATTATTTTTAGATTTTTATTACTAACATTATTACTGTAAGTTGGGTACAAATACATAATTAACTGCAAGTTTGCACATCGTAAGTCATGTAACCTCACAGAGTCTCTAGTAATGCCAAAACTCCAAATCTATTGAAGTTACATAAACTTTGAGCCCAGACAATGACAGCATTTTCAGTAACATCAACTCACAACATATTTTCTTTTATTAGAGCCAGTACGGGTAAGATTTTAGTATTACTCTCCTAAACACCAAAAGAAAGGACAAGAAACTAAGAATATGAAGTTTTACTAAGTAGTTATAATGACTTCTGCAGAGGTAGATTAGATCACAGGTGACACCGCACACTTACAGATGGTCCACTGGGTCCTGGTACACCTGGCAGTCCAGGAGCACCTTGAAGGCCCTGGAAATTAAAAAAGCATATGTCTATTTCCTCTTCCACTTATACTTCAAAAACAACTTGTATTCTGCATGTCCAGCAGCATTATAACTATATTAAAGCACATTTTCATCTAAAAGGTTGGCATTTCTTTTAAGAATGAAAAAAACCCCACCACGCAGGGTGGGTTAGATTATCACTGAACAAGTTTAGAGGCAACTTCTTCCTTAACTGATAAACAACACTTATCCTTCAATGTTTCACGTTGTTAACTTATGTCCTGTATGTCTTTTTGTCTTTAGTTGCACAGATAAGAGCAGGACATCTGGCTTTTCTTTAGAGATCAATTTTCTATTTTCTATCACTAAAAGGTTTTTTTTGCTGGCGAGAAGACGTTGACTCAGACTTCTCACTGTTACCTGATGCTCTCTAAATGCAATGATGCTTTCTGCCTGATTTATAGATTTTGCTTTTTTGATAATGGAACATGACATTTTTCATAGTATTTAATGACCTACTTTCCTGCATTTAACTCTATTTGATTGCCTGGAAATCGATGGATTCTGGTATCACTTACTAAACACAAAGGTGTGCAACTTACCACAGTGGACAGGTAGGGTTTGAGACAAGCCTGAGAGTCACTGAAGTCTTTCCGCTGCCACACCAGGCTTAGGTGCAGTATCAGACATGTAAAAGTCATGTACTACAGAGAACTAATTGTGCTCTGTTCCCCCTATAATCCATGAAGGGAAATAGGTCCCTCCAAGCAGGGATTAATTTTATTTGCAGAGGGTGCCGATCCTCTGACAATAGGAATCATCTCAGAAAAGGCGGTGTTCTTAATCTCAACCATCATATATCTTAACTCATCTTAAATGCAGTGTTCAAGTAAGCATGGCTGAGAGGGTAGTCTAGAAAACCGCAGTCAGGAGCCCTGAAACAGGGACTCTGGGAGAGAGACTGAGGGAAAAACTGCAGACAGAAAGAGGTCAGGATAGATGTGGGGATGGAGAGAGACATTCATTCCCCTTCCTTGCTCCTGCACACAGAGGGCATTGATCCACCTCAGAGTGGCAATCCAACTGCTAACGTGCTCTCTGCTCATTTTGAATTACTTTACTCTAACAGTACAGTCACCCAGAAAATGAATATAAAGACATTTTCCATAATTCTTACTGCTACTTCCAATTCTTTCTAATTCTTAGAAAAACCCTCCCCTGAAAAAAGGAATGTTTTAAAAAGAAACAAGACTAAGCTTCAACAAAGATTAAAGGACTATTCAAAAGCATATGAAGGTTAAAGAGCCAATTTCAAAGAGCTTCAAATGGGCTTCGCAATCACTCTTCCCATCCCCATGCTAATCAAATAATCAAAATGAAAATAAATGCATTCTTTTAAAATTCGTAAATTTGTTTAAAAAAGTTACTTTTAAACTCTGTGAACTCTTTCATATGTGTTTCTGAAAATAATTCACTTGCACCCTCATAATTTCACAACCAAATGCTGCTGCTAAACATGGAACATACCAGAGCTGAGGCAGCTAACATGGTGAATGTGAGTGGCTAACTTACTAACACAGCACAGCACCCCACAGAATCAATAAAAAAATTAGAACTAATTTACTCTGGAGTCCTTTTTAAAAAAATAACCGCCAGTTATAAGCTTGCTTTTCCCTTATTGCCTTCTTAATTGCCTCTAATAATCTCACTTGATTCTCAGCAGTTAAATAGTACCTGAATTGTTGAAACTGTTTTATAATGCCTCAGGGTTGAATTGCAGAGGTACCCTTATAGGGCACACAAAGGATGTGTTACTTTTCCATCTATATTTTACATAAAATTCTACTGGGTCTTTGCTTATGGCTACTATATAATTTTCGGGTATATATTCTAAATCCAACCTCAGGAGGCACTTGCTTTTAAGAAGCAAAGACATAATGAGCTCTGTAGATCAGGTGAAAACAAGAAACAAAAAAGCATGATACTTTAGTCTGACCCTCTGTTAAATACTGGGGCAAAGCAGTAGCCAGAATACACATCTAATGCTTCTGCTGCATCTTTCCCCCTCTCCCCCTTATATAACTGTTTGCTTTTGGAAGCCAAGGGTTCTGATGAACACAGATTTTCTTGAAAACTATTGTCATTCTGCTTCTGTTTGGAAACTCTTACTGTATTATGGTCTCAGCTCCAAAGAAATGTAAAACACTCATAAAGAACTACAAAACACTAATCAATAAGATCTAAATTAGTTTCATTATTTTCAGGTGCTTTCTCTAGCAGTCAGCACTCCCAAATCACAAGACGGCAGTAAGCATTTAACAGTGACAGTTAAGTATTTTGGAATTTTGAAGTGTTTCCCAAATATTATGTAACAGACTACTTATTTTAACTCCTTCAGTTGGCTAAGGTAAGTAGGAAATTAATTTATTTGCTCAGATTCATATGCTTAATAGCTTCTGCTTTGGTTATTATTTTTTTTTCTTTTTTTTGGACAGAGATTGCTCTTGAAGCATAACTGCAAGTACTTCAATTTAAAATGAAAGCTATAGCAGCTATTTTGGATTCAGCACCACCAGTCACACGTCTTTTTTTTCCTTCTCCAGAGCGACATAAAAATAACTCTAAGAATGCAGCATATGATGCAAAATACAGTAAATATTTTAAATTCAGTCTCTTCAAATATTTTCCAGCTTCCACTTAATAGCAAATGCTGCTATGACCATTGCCAGAGTATTTGCCTAATGGAATGTTTTTGAAAGTGAATTCTGAAGTGGAAGGAACACAATGAAAGTATTTTCTAAAAATATTTGGCATTTGCCTATTTATTGCTCTATCCTGTGCTCTTAAAAAATAGCATTTAAATGTATGTGAGGCTTTAAAATACACAACTGAGCAAAATCTCTCAGAAAAAAATTAAATAGATGTTATTTAATTGAATAATAGCATTTAATCTTGTTGAAAATTCAGAATGAAGGGCTATTTATAGCAATAAATTACTATCTCAGCAATTTTAAAGAACTGGATAACAGTCTGTGCATTTCATTCTCAGTCTAGATCTTTATTCAGGTTCAGGTAAGAATGCAACCACTATAGAAATTAAGTAGTTTACCTCATCGCCCTTCTCTCCAGCAAGCCCAGGAAATCCACGTTCACCTTTGATTCCCTATGAAAACATAATATTCAAACAAATACTTTCCATTAGAGAACAATGAATTTCATGCTCTGTAGGGCATTTTATGACCCACATTTAATACCATGAATAGCATGAAGCCCTTACAGTAGAAGAGAATCATAGAATTGTGCAGGCTGGAAGGGACCTCCAAAGGTCACCTAGTCCAACCTCCCCGCAGTCAGCAGGGACACCCCCAATCAGTAGAGGTGCATAAAACAAAAGAAAAGTCTCAATACTACCTGAAAGCTTTAAAACATGCCTTCCTTTAAGGGGAAAGGAAATGGCTGGTTTTTATCTAGTAGGCAAAGTCACCAAAAGGCTCGATGGAGACATTTTATACCAAAGATCTTAAATGCTTGTCCAGATGGAGAAAGCACACATTCACGTTTCATGGAGTTACGCTCAGCTACAGGGGATGTGTGTATGCCAAACCACGTGGCATTTGATCCAATTACAGTACAGGAGAATTTTGATGGACATCAATGAAACTTCAAAGTCCCAGTGAAATGGCTGCACTATTCCCATGGGACCAAGGTGCAAAGGCACAGGGTGGTCCAGCTGCTGCACACTTGAGAGAGATACGGGAAGTTTCCTTCTTCACCATAGGATTCTTCTGTGACTGACTTACCTAAAAAAAGCCTATAGATGGCAATGCACCACTGGTGGGTCAAATCTGAGCTAGCTTTAATGGACAAAAACCACAGAAGCGCTATCCTGGCTTGGGACTCAACTATTTTGCTCACCTTCCTGAGTGGCAAACTGACAGATGAAGAGGGCTGAACCATAAACATTTTATGAAGCTTTAGGCTGCTCAGATGATACAGGATGGGGATCAGACAAAAAAGTCAACACTGACAGATGTCAGCATGTGAACTTTTAACAAGCAATGAAGCAATTTAAAGTGCTCTCTTCAAAACGTACCTTTGGCCCTTCTCTACCAGGGATGCCTGGAGGACCTCTTGTGCCAGGATCACCCTGAGGAACAGAGACAAAGCAAAGTGATAAATAACCATGTTGCTGCATGCACAGAAGGTCTGATCTATGCAGACCACTTTCTTCCTGATTTTGTGACCATACCTTCATTTTATCCCAGAACGTTCTCTTCAGTCCCTTATCTCTTCTACACAAAATACGTGTTCAGAGATCCTTCCTTGTTTCCCTTCCCATCTTTCACATACTCTACTCAAACCATGCTAACAAATTTTTAGCTTTATTTTGAGAGGACTCAAAAATGCCATCATTTTGGATAGTCCCAGGCACACCTGTCCTTAGCTTCAAGCAGACCATCTTCTTTTCAAGGGAAGCGGCTTGGAGGCTACTTGTTACTCTCGCCAGCTTAAAATCTAGAGTTATTTTAAAGTAAATTATTCCTGCTTTGCTGAGAGAAACATTTTCCAGCTCAATTACAAAACTTATAGAAGTGCTAAACCAGAGAGAAATTAAGAACGAAGCATAAAGAATCAAATAGTAAGAAAGAGAATTGACAGAGAGGTAGAACTGCATGTACATGAGAAAGAAAACACAAACAGAAAGAATCAGGGAAAAGCCCAAAGGCAGACCTAAAAGAAATTAAATTTGGGAATGAGGAAGTCAATAAACCCTAATACACGTACAGTAGAATAGGATAAGATTCTCTCCTCTGAAAAGATGTGTGCTTTTCATATAGAAATCCTCCTGAGTACATTTTTCATTTTGGAATATGGCAGATCGCTTCAAATTTTATTATTTTTCAAAATAATATATTAGAAATTCTAGACTGTTTTTCCCATTTGGTTTATTACCAATATCAATGCTTCAAAGTGAAGTGGAGAATGGGGTGTACTTGTAGTAGTTCATACTGTGGACTGGATGTACTGAACGGGCACTTGCTGGCTACTGCCTCACATACTGCTCAAACAAGACTTTGCAAAATTCCCTTAAAATACATTTCTTGAGTTTTTTTTTTTTTTTTTTTTTTTTTTATAAAATACATTTCTTGAGGGTTTTTTTTGTTTCTTTGTTTGTTTTTTGTTTTTTTTTTTTTTTTAAAAAAAACAACAAATCAACAAATATCTTAAAACCATTTTAGGCTAGCCAAGTGGGTCAGAATTGAACCTACAGAAAATTCCAAGTGCGTATTGTGGTTTAAAAAGCATGCTTATAATCCACAAAAATATTTAATATCTGAAAATGTTTACCTTCAGTATAGCCCCCATGTCTCCCACAAGTGGCAGTGCAATCTGAAATTTAAAAAGGCAGCTGCAGTTAATATTTTACACAACACTACTGATTCTGATGGGTTCTTATTGCTTCTAAAGTTCATATGGTTACACACATAGCTGATTACATACATATTGGTTGAAGCTAATTTTTAATAAAAATTCAAAAATCAGGATTTCAAATATAGTTTTATTTGTTAAATATTGCTGTCTATCCAACTTTACAATGTAATTCTTCATTACAGTTTCAATGAAGTTCCTTAAACTATGACAACAGCATAATTCCAGAACAAAATAAATTTCAATTTAAAAATAATAATAATTAATTTTTGGTTTTGTAGCATACCAGCAGCAACTTATCACTACTGGAAATTCTCACAGGCTATTCTCACTTTATTTTCTTAAATTTGTTTACTTCTGCCTTCTTCTAGGCTTTGACTGTACTGTGAACTGTAGCAGGAATTTTGGTTTGGTTTATTTCTTCCAAGCATCTACAGAATCTTATTGATGGAATTTTTGTTGATGGAATACTTTCTAACAACCAATCAGGGAATTCAGAAAGCTTCATTTGCTGTCATTAAAGCATCTGTTTCTAATGAGAAATTTGCTTTTTGGAAGTTCTGAGGTAGTTGTTGAGACTCCAGACAGAAGCAGAAGTAACAACTGAAGTTTTGCCATTCTGCAAATATGGTCACGGGGCTCTCCTGACTCCCATGTAAAATACTCCATTATCTTTAAGAGCACAATTTGGTCTGAGGCATGTGCAGACTTTTTTGATCTTGCAGTGCTAGACTTCACAAAAAACTGTAAATCTATATCATTGTTAAATACAAATCATTGCTGTAATACCGAAGAGGTGATGATAACTCACTAAGTGTGGTGAAGGATCAGAAATTTCTTTACTGTTTTTGTTTTCAAACCCAGCCATTTAACTTTTCATAAGCGCTATAGTGAATTTATCCCTTTAGAGACTAAATATTCTCAGAATGTCATTAAAAGTTGATGTCTTCTTTCTGTGGCCTAGCAGAATTAGCTTTGGAATCCCCAGACTTTTTTCTTCAGTCTTTTAGTAGGAATAGTCAAAGTATGCCTCTGAAAATTTCTATTACACAGAACTGCTTCTGAGACTGAGGAACGCTATGCCAAGTAATAGTTTGGCAGAAACTCTAGTACAGAAACTGTAACACCTGAAAACAGGGTATTTATCCTGTACACATTAACATAAGTTTAATTTATACTGCAATATAATCAAGTAAAAAAAAAAAGGCAAAGGATATAATAATTGAAAAATCAAATTAATTTATTCAATTGGACTTCTCAGCTTGCTAGGTTATCTCATCTCCTTCAAATCTAAAATAGTTGCACCAAAGCAAATGTACAAGCTTTCTATGTATACGTACAGGATCACCGGGAGGGCCTGGCAGTCCTGGCTTTCCATCTCTTCCTGGAGTGCCCTAAAAACAAATGTAAAATTTGGTGGCGTTAAATTATTGATAAGGGACGCATTGCTTTTTGTGGTATATATAGAGAAGTATCACTTACATTAGTACCGGGGGTACCTGGAGTTCCTGGTAACCCTGGGGGTCCCCTAGGGCCCTAAGAGCAGGAAAGGTCACTCAGGATTTAAGAATGCTTTCTTTTACTGTAAACTTCATAAAACTAAATTAATGCTTTTTATATGAAAGAGAAAACGTATATCCTACCTGCATACCTACTGATCCAGCTGGACCTATAGGACCCTGCAAGAAAACTCTGAATAATCAGTACTTATACTTTTTGGGACAAGGGAGGTGAACTTCATAAAAAAATAGCGAATGTAGGATATTGGTGCAGTTCACGTCACATGAAATACTTGCTCTACAAGTTGGCTTTAAATCCAAATCTAATTTTGCCATCATTAGAAAATTCAGGAATTCTCTGAGGCCCATTTTTAAGTGCGAGTAATGCCAAAGAATAATGCCAAAGTGGTGAAACTTGCTATTTAGCTCAAATATTCATAAGAAAAGCTGATATTCAATTGAATAAAAACAAATTAGATTATTTAAATATCAATGGACCACTTTTAAAATTAAGCTCTGAAAACATTCTAACTGAATAAATTATTTTAAAGTATTATTATATTAATCTAAGATGTGAATCTCTATCAGCTTTCTCAGACCTTTTCTCTCTGTGTCTGAGTGCTGTATATAAACTGAAATCTATCAGCAAAGTCTATTGGTCTGGAAAAGTGATTGCCCTATTCACCATGGTAGAGCTTATATATTAACACGTATACCATCTACACCATCAATACCACCAATTTTTTACTTAATACTCTGAAGACACTGCAGATGGATTTTTTTAAAGGCAATAGAAAAAAAAACCCACCTGGAAAACAAGCTGAGTATCTGAAGCAGTTATTGCTATACAACAGCTATTTAGTATGAATGCTCTAGATACACTGCACCAACTTGCTTCATGTCTGAATGTAAACTGCACAGAGACACATGAGGAAAACTGTCCAAAATCAGAACTTTACTATTTTCTGCCATAGTACCTGGCACTGTAAGGGTCTCATTTATAAGCAGTAGAACTCAGCTTGTAAGTGGCAGTCATCACAAGCACAAAAGCTAGGAGCTGAAGCAAAGCCTTCCATGTCTCTTGCATGAGTCTTTGCCATTTCCAGTACCAGCATGAGTTACAAAATGCCATCATTTACAGCCGAGTACGCCTCTTCTTTTGTACCAGTACTCAGGCTGCATTTTGCCAACAACTGCAAACAACTGTTGCTTAGAAACAGACACAGCAGACGTCTCAACACCGTGACTAGGAAGCACATCTGTAAAGCAGCCATTGACTCTTCCCTGAACCCCAGGCTTCCACTGGGAAGGAAAGCCTGCAGGGAAGATCTTTTCCCACTAAAGGGAAAAGATGCTGACTTGGGAGTCAAGTCACAAGGGAGTTCATGACATGGTTTTATATTATTCTTTGCTACAGTTTCTCAGTGATGCATAGTGAGAAGCCCAAAATCTGGGCATTGGTATACTTACTGGTGATCCCTGAATGCCTATTCCAGGGGGCCCCATCTCCCCAGGTGCTCCTTGTACACCAGGGAGTCCTCTTTCTCCCTGAGAAGGGTACAAGGCTTTCAGTTACAACAGGTCTGAAAATGTAAACTAGCCTATTATCCTGTTTTTTCAGAAACAGAATTAATTTTTTTTTTTAATACCTTTGGTCCCCGTGGACCTGGATTTCCAGGAATACCAGTGGGACCCTAAAAAAACCAAACAAACAAAAAACACAAACAGGAAAAAAGCAAATTATGTTTTGAAATTAGAGAGACCAGCTGAATTTTTTTCCCCAAATTAGTCAGCCTTTATGAACGAACTGTGACAGATTTATGTATGTCTTCCTTGTTAATACTACTGTCACTAGGAACATATGTGAATCTTGCGCTAACACTACAGATTTCTAAACAATATTTTAGTGTACTTATAATGTCACTATAGCGTTTATTTACATTTTGAAATTACATTTAAAAAGTACTTGTTCCAATTTATTTCATTGCATGATGAGAATTCTTTAATAATTTTCCCTACAAGAAATAAAGTCATAAAAGCCTTTTTAGATTATGGACTTACTGGTATTCCGGGCAGACTTGGTCCAGGAGGCCCCACATCACCTTTTGGACCTGGATGTCCAGGCGGTCCCATAATCCCACCAGGGTCCCCCTACAAGATAAATTTGAATCACTAATTGAAATGTGAAAATTTTCTCTTATTAAAAAAACCTCCTAAATATTATCCAGGTTATCCTAGGAAGTGCCAGCACAGGGGGGGAGAAATAAGCACAATCAAAGCTTTATATAGCTCTGTGTTTCCCAACATATAATTGCAAGCAAGTGAGCCTATTCAGGTATCAAAATCATTACCATAGTTTTATCAAATTTATTACATTTCATTCCACAGACATTCATCTCCATACACCTGTAAGTACTCAGTTCCCAGGAGGCAGGAAAATCCTGTATATTGTTCTCCTAATGTATTATTCAAAGGTACCAATGTAGGTACAATGTACCAACAACATCAAAAGTGTTACGTATGTATGTATGGAAAATCTATTCGAAGGCTTCGATTTTCTACCAAAAATATATTTTCCTTCAAAAAGTTACAGAAGAAGAGGCATGTACCATATAGTCACTAACAGTAATGAACACTGTCTCAGTTTTCCATGCTTGCAACGCAACTGATCTGTATTTCTTTGTCTCCAGACCCCTAATACACAGGTTGTCACTAAACCCTGCCAATTGCTTCACAGGAACAGCTTCAAACTCTGTCTCTCCCCAGCTATCTACCTCTGGTGCTACAGCCCTGGTCTTCATTTTATTCCTGTTTACATCTCCTCTATTTCTCATTTCAATGCATACGGTATCTCTTGCTCCACACCTCTTCAACTCCTCCTTACACAGGTGAATCTGTGCCTTTTGTTACGTTCTTGTCTTTTACACACTCCTGCACTCCTTATCACTCCTCTGTGATTATTTCTGAATCCACTACATCCTGTTTTGCAAGATGAGTACATTTTCCTCATTATTCTATATCTACTTTCTTCTTCCTGCCTTTTCAGCAGCTCACGTCTTCAAACTATAAATGGATTTTCTCTCGTAACCCGTCATGTATAATTACCAACACACAGCTCACAGTACGCCTGTATAACCTATTTTCTCCCCTTCTGTACACACAACATATATACACACACACATCATTTTTAACTTGTTGGTGTAGCTCATTTCTATCTAAGAGTTGTCTACAGAGCACAATACAGTGCCATGAGGAGATCCCAGCCTTGGCTCTCCTCTGAGGCACTACAGCTGCCCCAGGGCTCTGTCAGGATCAATGTTTCTGCCCCTGAAGTGGGATTTCACACACTAGCCTGGTTGGGACACCACACTGAAACGCTTGTTCTGTGGTCAAGACTCGAACTATAATGTAATAATATAATTAATAATTATAATATAATAATTTCTATACTGCACTGATTTAATGCAAGAGCCCAATGCAGCTGTCTTGAAATATTACTTAAATTACAAATCTAAAGAGCAATCGGGTTGCCAAATTGGCTTACAGCATCTCCAAGAAACTTCTCCATTTTTAAATCAATTCGTAAAGCAGCCACACAGATGCACTAATTGTGGATGGAAGGTTACTTCAGAGGTAACAGTCTGATACGCTCTAAAACCTCAAGTTTAATTAAAACCACTTAAAACATACCTTGTCTCCTTTAACTCCTGGGTTTCCTGCTACCCCGTGCTCTCCTGGTAAGCCCTGGAATTAATAAAATTATAAATGTACATTTTTATAGCTATTCCCTTAAAGATTATTTAAAATTACAGATGCAAATGAGTTTACACTGCGTTATTTACTGTACATTGGTATTGACTCAAAATGTCAAAGAGTAAAAGTTAATGAATCCTTCTTTAATCATATATATGAAACATTTTTCTTTCTTTCATCTTTCTTTCTTCAAGTTGAAATGTAATACTCACAGTTATTTTCTGAACCCTATCAGGGCAAGATGGTAGTGTACACAACCTTGACTTTCAAGTTAGTGTCTCATCTTTTTTGCCTATGAAGGGCTGCATGATTTCCTACACCAGTTAATTATCCAAATCTGTATCATGAAATCCTCAGTGAATTCCTGCATTACTTTACCCACCAAATTCCTTTTAAATATTCTAGATATTTAATACAGTCAATTTTTTTCAGCAAAATAAATATACTCCGTCCTTTCTTTTGTCTAAATCTTCTCATCTTTCACATTTTGATTTTAACTTCAGTATTTTCCCTTGCCTTTTTCATGAAGGATTTCTGAATGCAGAGAAATTAAATACATTAAAATCTTACAGTAAACTATTCAAGTAACAGGGAAAGTTAAATTGTCTTCTCTTACTATGCTGTAAAAAATACAGAAAACTTTTTCCATAACCCTTCAATGCTATTCAACCAACTATTCTATCAAGCATTTTATTAAGAATACCACTAATTTCCACAATAATTGATAAAATTGTCAAAACTGAACAGTAAAGTATGATACTTAATCTGGAATGGAAAAATGAACTTTCTAAGAAAAAGACACATTTTTTTTATATTTTCATAATTTTCATTGTGCTGAGCAAGATGAATTGTTGTATGTGTATAATGAATGTGTATAAATATGAGTCTTCAAGACCATCTATATCTAGGATCGATATACATTATATACTCTATTTATCTGTTCATAATATCACTTGATCAAAGATGCAGAAGAACAGCAGTTTCAAAATCAGCAATTATGAACTCAAATGGGCTGATGACAACACAAGGAAACCAGACATGCAGTATTTTCTTATCTTCCACAGTAAGATTGGGGATCTATATATAAGTAGAAGCACAGCAGAAAAGGCTTACAAACTATTGCTGTAGAAGACAAGTAAATTAGACATGATTTAAAAATCGCAAGCCTCAATTGAGGTATAAAGAAATGGTCAATAAGTAACACAGCACATAATGACTACATGCAGAATTGAACACTCCAAGTTCTTGCCCTGCCAGAAGCTGAAGATGTTGTCCTCCAGCTGTCACTTTGCTTATATCCCTAAGACTTTTAAAAAGTCAACAATAAAAAGTCTGCCAGCTGTGGACCACTGAGATCTGTATTTTAATATTAATAAAGTATATGGCTTAAAAGTCTGTTCAAATTAAGAGCTCTCTTCCAGAAAGCAGTCTCAGAGTGCATGTGGCAAGACCTAAGACAGAATGCAGCTCCTAGATGCTTCTGTTTGTAGAAATAAGATAAAGGCCAAAACCAACCCACAGAGCAAAATCCAAAATCCCAGTTCTTTTCAGGCTTAACTGCTAGCTTCAAGCCAAGCTCACCATCTTCTGCTTTTCTTGGTCCACTTGTATCTAACCACTCAAACGTTCAAAATAGCACTTAAAAACCCATTTAATGTTTTATGGAGGAAGGGAGGGAGGAGAACCAGAGAGATGGGGTAGGTGCCACTTGCTGAGGTTATGTGACAGCACCACAGCTGTGGACTATAACCTAATTGCAGTCTACATGGGGGATTAGGCAGAACAGAGTTGCCTGCACACTAACGAGGGACTCTGCTGTAATTTGGAAGGGAGACAGGCAGCCACCTCCTCAGAATAGGCCTTCTGCTATATTAGGGTGTCAAGTCAAATGCCCAGGGAACTTTCAAGCTTAGTGTAATGATGCCTAACAGTTTAAGATGTTTCCTAGAGCATTAGGACTGGATTGAAGTTTCACCTGTGCTCTACCCTCCTGGATCCTGGGAGATCCCTGCCTGTTTGGGTGATCCAAACCGGCCAGCAAACCCATCGGTCTGTTGCCCAGTGACATAAGGGTTAGAGGCACACTAAAACCCCCGTGAAGGAGGCGCCCGTCACCTTGACAAACACCAACCAATTGGAAGACCTGAATATGGTGCACCCAAAAGCACAATAACTACAGGCATGTTAAAACTCTGCTCAGAGCCACCCACTGCCTCGACAATCCCAACCTATCAGTTTTGCATCCACGGGTATAAAGGTTATGGGCAAACTACATCTCTGGTAAGGGGTCCTCTCCCCACAACTCTTCCTAGATTGTGTCCCTCAACGGGCCATGATCTTGAGGTTCAATAAATCATCTGTAAGCTTCTTCTGACACTACCTGACTGCCTGTAGGGGATCTGGATATTGGGGTTTACTTAAGAACCACTGAGATATGAGCTTTTACCTTCCTTGATTATCTCACACTCTCACTCTTTCCCCTTTTCACATTATGTTGAGCCCTGACTTAACTTTCCAGCAGGGAGATTGTCACTCATCCAGGATGGCTGGGCAGCAAGTTGTCTTGGTTTGTGTTGTGCAGCTGCTCAGTTACCAGTCCTCAGTGTTAGAGGCTAAGGTCCCTGGCAATTGTTTTGATGCATCTCCCTGATCTCCACGACCTTCCCTGACTTCCAGGACCCTTCCTCCAGCCAAGATCTTCCCCTTCTTCCTTGAGACAACACCTCTTTACTTCCAGGAACCCTTCTATTTTTCCACCCCTTCATCTCCTGGGTACCCTCACCCCTCAGTTCTCGCCATCTAAATAGTGTATGTGCAGAAGCACAGCAAGTGGTGAGCCTCCAAACTGGTGAGTTTGTCTCATGTCTCATATTAACTGGAGACCCCAGGGGTGTGTCACCTCTGCTCAGTTCAGGTGCTACCAAAATTAAGAAGCAGCCCCTACTCTTGCATCTGACAAGTAGTAGGCTTCTGCTTGGGAGTTGAACAGTTCAGGTTTTGACATTCTCCCACAGACACGGACATACACAATTCATCTGCCACCTGTCAGTGATCACAAATTAAGCTATTTTTCACCTACAGCAGCTATATAATGGCCTTAGGCACTTTATGACTGTCAGCAAGCCACTGCCCAATTAAATTAGAATGTCAACCGACAATCACAAGAATAACCTCTCATTCCACTTTCTGCAGAAGTATTTTAGTAATTTAATCTATTGAAAAGTAATTAGAAAAGAGGTATTCTACTAATTTTTTTCCAACCAATACTTCCACTTTGGCTAAAGAATTTTATATTGTTCAGAATTACCTCTTGCTTGGAATATGAGTTTTAATTGTAAATCTGACCTAAATTCTAAGATAATAAACATAATTGTTTATTCTATTCACCTTACTAATCTTTACCCCTTTTACAGGAAGAAAAGCATTTCAGAATAATACAGAACTATAGACAGAAATAAGGAAGGCAAATGTTTAAATCCTTGGGATACCCTTACTTTCCCTGTTTCTTCTCACTTTGCTCCACAAGCTGTTCTTTACAGTTCATGACGTAATATGATTAAAACTTTGCTAGAGACTTTTTAAATTTTCACCTGCTCCTGTGAGATAAGAGTGATTTTTGTAGAGCTAACTGTCTGCAAATCAGTCAAATTAGCATTGTCGTTCTTGTTCAGATGGTAAAACAAGGACAAAAAGAACATAAGCAAATGACAGAACTCTACCCTGAGGCACCCCATACTACTGTGCTTCGGCACCTGATGGCTACAGTACCACCACAACAGCAGCACTACCATCAGTTCTGTGGTACTGCTTCACTAGCCAGCACACCCCACACCCCAGCTTGGGGAGACTGCACAATACATACAACTTCTCCTGGCAGCCCTCTGGGTCCAACAGGTCCTGGAGGTCCTTGCAGTCCCTGTGAAATGATACAATGGTATCCGGCATTAAGAATTATCTTCCACATGGACTAAGAAGTATAGAGTTTTCTCATTCTCCCTTAATCTAGCATTTGGTCCAAGAAAGCTTTGGGACTGATATGTACAAAATCCAAGTATGTATCCAAAGCAAATACAAGTAAATACAAATGCACTACCTACAGGAAAATACAAAACAAAAGGAGTAAATCAAGATTTCCTCCCTCAAGGGACAGATCTAGAAGTCATCTTTTAACTACATGGTAAGTGTTCCTTCTCCTTTTGGAATAATCTCATCAGAAGGACTCCAGAGTATCGAAAGAAAAGGGGATTGAGAAGTAGAGATAAATGGGTGACTTGGTGCAAACTCTAATGATCTCTATAAGACTCTCCTGGAAGGTACACAGTGTGAGGGTGACCGAGATTTAAACTGCAGTAAGAACAGTTTTTTCAGTAGCATCCTACCAAGGAAGAATTTTATGAAGTACAGTAGCCATGATCCGTGCACGAACTTTATATATAAACTATTTGCATTCTCTGCCCCTTCAATAACAACTAAAGAGTTGATAGTATTCAGAGTCCTCTTATATAACAGCATAGAATGCAATGGCTGTTAATACCACAAAAATACCCTTCACCTACCTTTGCTCCTGGATTTCCAATAAGACCAGGTGGTCCAGGGTCTCCTGTTTCACCCTAATGACATTGTTTGAGAGAATAAAAAAAAAAAATTCAAATTTACTGTTATGTCTCCCAGTACCAGCTATGTACGCCATTTACATAGTCAGAAAATACCTTATTTCCTTTTGATCCCTCCATTCCAGTTTCTCCCTGGAAATAGCAGGTACAAACATAAGAAGTTAAAACTTTAACTAAGATGACCTAAGAGTTTAATTTGCTACCTTAAAATATTATAATATAGTTTGCAAACTTAATAAATATTGAGAATTTCCAATGCCTTCTGCAAACTCTGAAAGGCATTCCTCTTCAAAACGAATTAAAATTGAGAAAGCATTAAAGAATTTCCAATGCCTTCTGCAAACTCTGAAAGGCATTCCTCTTCAAAACGAATTAATTTGCAGCTCTTTCTAGTGTTTTAGAGAAAAAAATGTTTGAAAGCACCACATTGAGCTTCTCCAGTTTGAAGCCTATTCTTCACCACAAAATCTCTACTGGTGACCGAGTATTCGTCTCCAAACCCACACATTATTACAGTATGGCATATTTCAGTTATTACAATATATTAACCACAAGTATCTGAGCAACCTTCAGTTGTGTATTAAACAACACAACCAGCTTTTGTCAAATGTCATGAGAGAGGAAAGTTAATTAAAAATAAGGAACATGTGTAAACAGATTCTTACAGAATAAATGTTCTGAAAATACCCCCCAAAATAACCAAAAAATTATGCACACATAAAATGGCTATAAGAAAACTTCTTGATGTTAAATGCCACACTAGAAACTGGTAAAACAATTAAAATAGTACAGTTAAGACCACACATAATTTTGTCAAATAACTGAAAAAAAGAACGAACCCTCAGGGAACAAAAAAACCATGCACTTAGAACTCAAGTTTATGGACTGTACAAAATGCTGAAGAACAGGGCATCTCTGTTTTTTATTTATAATCTGTGTGAGCTTAATGTATGTCTAAGAAAGAGACAATACATATGCTACCCTACTTAATCACTGAATCTAATGAAAGTATACACAGAAAATAATTACAGCATCAATACACTATGAAAATGATATAAAACATAAATGATTCACATCACCAGTTCAAAACGTAGCTATACTCACTGGATCTCCCTTGTCCCCCTTTTCAGAAGGCTCTCCCTATGGAAACACCGGGAAGAGGTTAACACAGATTTATTTCAAATGCTAAATAGTACATATGTCTGGTTTTGGTGAAGAGTCCTTGGTAAATGTCGGGGTATTTTTAAACCTATATAAAATATAAGTATATGGACTACAAAAGTTTACTTGATTTACATTGATTTAATGACAAGACCATGATGTGATTCTTTCAAGCAGAGGGAGAGTCAAGACAATGAGCTGAAAAGAGTGACAATGCATACGAATCTGAAATTCGAGTTATCACATGGGCTAAGACTCTAGAAGGGGGGTGCAAGAGAACTGGCTGATATTTAAGTACTACTTCCTTCAAGCTCAAGATTGGTGCATCCCTAAGAGCAAGAATCAGGGCAAAGGAAGCAGGAAACCTGCACGGATGAGCAGGGAGCTTCTGGAAAAACATTATATTTGTAACTTGAAAAAGCATGAATGGCATCCAATTCATGAGGCAATCACTGATCATAAACTTATATAAACATAATTTTAAACATTCAGTGAAAGTCTGAATATGTTTAAAATTAAGGAGTTTGTGAGCTGTTTGAATAGGGAAATTTACTTGCATACGTAAATACCAGGATGGGCTTGAGTAAATTACTAAGGACATTCAGAGACTGACAGCTTTTCCTATGCTTAAATATATTTAATGGATTCTGAGTATATTTGACAGGATTTGACTGATAATCAGTATGCTCAGCCACCTCCCAGCATCACACATAAGCACAGAAGTAAAGAATCCATTTACCTTTTCTCCTTTTGCGCCGATCATTCCCAATTCTCCTTTTTGACCCTTTTAACAAAATAAATTATATTTAAACCTCTTATATTCTAACTAATAGAAATAAACTCCTCTTCTCCTATAACTCTGCTTTGTTCTGTGTAAGACACAAAAATCTGAGATTTAATAATCTCTAAATAAATTTAAATCACTGTTTTCTTTAGCAGATCTGCAGGCTTCTCAATAAAAAAACCCAAACATTCCTAATCTTGTGACATATCCAGAGCTTTTCTTTTCTTCCAAGCTTAATAGGCATCCAATTGTCAAAAATTCATTCTGCTGCTTAACAGGACTGATGCCTATAAACAATATACTGTCATATGTTGTGGATTCAGAATCTGACCTCCACATAACTTTTCTAAGCTGACTGTAAGTATCTTTGGTACAGCAAGTCTCTTTGTTACAGAGAACCTGCTTCATATATTAATGATTTACTGTTTAAAATATTTTCTGAATTTCGACTTTCATAGAGTCTTTTCCCCCTAACCAGCAGGCCAACTCATTTGATTTCTCCTCAGACAGTGTTACAGAAATGACACATAATTATTCCTCCATTGTGCCTTTCTGGCTGTCATAGATGAGAGGAGAAAGGCCCACGTGCTGCACCTGCAGGATGCCATGATGAGCTGGAGACTGAAATACACAGATCAAAGAGCCAGTCATACCCAAAACCTGTTCCTTCAAACATCATTGTGATAAATCAAAGAACAGACACTGTGTTAAGGGTTGCAGAGGCAGGTTAGATAAGATTTTTGAAACTTCTCAAAATTTCACCCAAAATGCTTACAACGTCTCCTTTCTGGCCTTTAGGCCCAGGGGTCCCAAGTAATCCTAGTAGTCTTGCGTCACTCTGGGGAGAAATATCACCACAAAATCAGAGAACAGACCTTGTCACCATTTATTTGCAGTAATAATTTATTTACCATAAGAAGTTAATATAATTTACCAGTATGTAAAATCAGAAGTCCTAATTTACTATTAGAAAGGCATACTAAATGCCTATGCAGAACATTTAAGTAACATATTGCAGCAACACATCCTTTGTCACACATTAATACTCTAGTCAGACAAGCAGAAGATGAACAAATGCATAAAAGGGTAATGTCTATGTTGACTATTGCTATGCAAATCTGTGGGGTTTTTTTCTTAACTCAATGCAAAAAACATATTTTTATGCTCATTATAACAGCACAGTTCTCAAGTATGTTAGAAAATAGCTTCTTTCCTATGACAAAAACCCAAGGTTTTTACTTTTGAGCAGCATGAAATGTAAAATGGAAGTAATTTACTAGAGTAGTGAGACAGAAGGAGAGGGAATGAATATGATCAACAGGTTCCTCACAATGCTCCTCAAAGAAAACAGACAGATTAAAAAACCAGGGAGTCACGTTGTATACTTCCTCAGGTATTATTGCACTGCACCTATTTACTCTTCTGCACAAGGTAAAGACGCAATAAAATATAAAGCAAATGTTTTGCTCTTCACAAAGCCAGGCTCAGACTACCTAAGGGGAATGCGTTTTCTTTGGATGACAACAGAAAAAGCAACAAAACCAATGACCCTGAAAAATGAGCTTGAGTCTGGACCCAAGGAGTCCAAGTCCTAGGACATCTGCCCCTGGGCTGGGTGGGAACACTGAGCAAGCCAGCTCCCCTTGCCGTGCTCCCGTTTCCCTAACTCTAACGTGGAAAAACATCATGATGAATAAAAGTGCCATTTACACTCTGTTAATATTTTCAGAAGTTGGTAACTGAACATAACCTGAATAAAATTCATAATTATTTTTATAAGTATAATGTCCTGAGGATCTTCTTCAGCTTTTAGAGCTTGTAACACTGTTACTACCCTAATTATCAAAATCATCTTCAGAGCAAGAGGCAGATACCCAAAGAAGGTCAATGCTCTAGATTGAGAATAATCTAGATGTTTGTTATTATGAGTATAGTATAAGTTATGATTTATTCTGAGTTGTGCATTTCTTTTGCATACATGGAAAGGAAAAAAGCGTACTGGACCAAATAACTACTTCTATGCTTTTTGCATATTTATAGGTCATTTGCTCTTTACAACAAAATGTAAGTAAAATATGCCAAAGGAAAAAACTTAGAAAAGTAATAATGAATTATTCAAGAATGTTCTATAATTATTATAAATTATAATGATTTTGAAACATTTCCTGAGCAGATTGTGATGTAGTTTCCATAGCTTTGTGTTGTGGCTTCATTTTTATTTTTATGCATTGGAGAACATTTTAGATTAAACTGACCTGTATGCCCTTTCCAAAGATGTTTAGAACCCGCTTTGACTGAAGTGACCTTATATCTATGTACAGAAAACTGGTATGTAAAAAAGACGACAAGCAGAGGCCTTGAAAGCCCAGGCAAGAGATGAGAACGGAGGCCTGAGAGTGTATAAACACAAATCACAAGGCATCATTTACCAGTCACTGAGGGATGTAACCTACAGAGCAGGGTAGGACCAGACTCTTGGCATAATGAAGAGAACAAAATGGAACACACACAAAGCATCTCTTTTACACTGAAAGCGCAAAAGACATAACAAGGAGTATAAAAACAGTCACATGCCTTGCAAGAACAGGCACAAAAAAAGAACAAGGAGGGAAGAAATGTTCCAGCACTGTCTCCCACCCATTAAGGAGATGCTACTGCTTATCCTCAGCTGGTTCCCCTCACCTTCATTAAAGAGAGGCTGCTGGTCTTGGTTTGCCATCCAGCACAATTTGCTGCTGCCATCAGCAACTGTATTTATAGCGCTCTCTTTCACTGTACACATGGATCAAGTAAATTAGGCTTTTAAAGACTTGCACTCCAGCCTCCTTACACAATAAGGTGATTGATACTCAGCCTGAAAAAGCTTGGTTGCAACAAATTATTTAAATACATTAAGCAATTACAACTACTCGTTGATACCATACAGAAATCAGAAGAATTCTAAATAATCTGCTAAGAAACAGAGAAATTATAGAAAGAAAAAGACAACTTTATTAATTATGATGGGTCCTAAGATCTCTCTCACTGATCTCCACCGCCACTCATACTCCCACCCCACCATTTCCTGGTAGCAGTTTCTCATGATGACTAGAAACACCAGTGCAAAGAAGCCATACTAATATTCTCAGAAAAACAATGATATAAAAATCTCTATAGCAACAAAAATGTTGTCTTAATTTAAGCACTTTAAAAAACCAGACTAAAAGAAGACTTTGTGAGATACCTGAGAACATGCAAAAAATGTTGGAAAATGAGAAGACCGTATCCTCTGGTGTAAGGAACCTCAAAAACCTGAGAATATCACTGAGATATCATCGTACAAGTGGAAATAACTGAGGCACATTGCAAATCATATACTGGAGTGTGAAAGATTGCTTGGTACCTCCAAGGTGCAGTGAACAAAATCAGCACTCATCATCCTACCTAATAGTGTGGGGAAAAGGGGAAAGTTACTGGTGCATACATCTGCCTAAATCATCAAACTGTGGCAAAGCAGACAAGCTGTCCTTGTCTTTGATGACCTCTTTGACCCTCTTGCCCTTGATGGGAATATCCCATTTCCATCATAAGACATATAGAAAATAATGCGTTTGTCGCAGCAGTTGGAGACTTAAGTTGACTCTAGGAAGATGTGAACATGTGGTTACATAAAGTTTGCACATTTATAATCTGTTACTTGAATTAGAAAGCCATGTCTTTTCTCATCTGAAACCAAACAGCATATCCTTGTTGAACAGTTAATTACTCATGACAGAGTCATTAAAATCTTCAAACTAGACAGCTGAAGGAGGAAGAAAGTTGGTAAGCTGTACAGGATTTAAAAGATGATTAATTTATAGACATAAAGCAGCTGGTCTACATTTTTCCAGAATATTCTTAATTTGGAAATAAAAGACACCTTAGGAGTTCATAGAGCCTTATAATAATAATAAACATGAATTTTGGAGATGTGCTTGCCAGTTCCTGAAGATCACCACTGTTTGTATTTCCTCCTGCAGAACTAACCTTAAAGTGACTACCAGGGTAAATGAGATTAATAGTGCAGAGGTGAGGAATGAGCTACACTAAATATAGTATTGGTAGAGGAAACAGGGCTAGTATCAGTGAAAGCAGTCTTTGGCAGGAAAAATAAACTGCCAAGAAAATGAAAGGTATAAAGCCAAAATATAGAAAACTTCAACACATACATATGAAATGGCAGACCAAAATCAGAAACTAAGTCTCCTTAGTCCGGGACAGCATATAAAACTATGCTTAATTCCTAATGCATGTACTAAGGTGAAATACTGATTTGGAATGGGTTAAACATCAGAAATATCAGAGAAATCACTTCTGTGATAAAAGTAACTAGAAAGATATATTTGACATTTATTTCACTCCATAATCCCTATTCAAAAAAAGATTTTAGTACTCATCTGGATATGTTACATAAGAAAAATATCCTGAATTCACCTGCTCTTTATAGTTATGCATTTTAATATTGAAAGAAATCAATGTCTTCCAGGTTTGACCTGCATGACTTAAGGTCTGATACACACAGTAACCTTTGTGTTAGGCAAATATTCCTGTCATAGTCCTTCAGTGGTCTTTGAATGAAACTAAATTTTCTTATCAGATAAGTTACGTACTTTGGCAGCAATTAAGAAACTTGCGTGATCTTTGAATTACAGTCCCTTACAATGGCAGACACTACTGCCACTTAAACGATTTGAAAAATCTGTGGTGGGAATTTAAAAGTTCTGTCACATGGAATGCTGTCCTACTGAATTTTAACTTTTTCCTATGAAGTGCTTGTAGCTGCAGGAGGTTCTATAATTCAGAAAATATTTTTATTAATCTATAACGCAAACATAAGGACAATTCTTATGAATTGCTGGCAGACCTTAATTATACCTCCTTCTCTTTCTAGTTTACTCTTAGGATCACAACAGAGTAGGTCAAGAAAAAGGAAATGTTATGTACAATTTAGAGCGATGAGGTTTAGAAATGGGGAGGTGGTGCTTTACGCTAACAGCTGGGTGGTCCCCCCACCTCCTTTTTGAAGGGCACCAGGCAAAAATACAGGAGTAGAAGACGGACAGGAGGTAAGACATATAGCAGCAGGGTACACGACACAGTAGGTATGTTGGACCAAGCCTATACAGGGATGCATAAAGGGAACAGGGAAAGATCTACCCTTTGAATGAATTTGGATCCCAGCAGTTTGCTGGGATCAAAACTGTGGTCATTTCAATCTTAGATGCTTCTTAGCCATAAACACATACACATAGACACTATATATCAAATGTCCATACCTCATTATAATGCTTGTTCAATGAATCCAGAACTCCTTTTAGTCCAGAAGGACCCTATATGGAAAAACATGCATCAGAAAGTAATTTTAATTTAACTAATGTTAAGTCTACATACCTGCATTCAAAGAGCAGTGGTCATGTAAAAGGCTTTGAATTTTTATTAGATTACACAATAAATTATTTTCTGTAAGTTCATTATAGCTTTTTTTTTTCAGAGAAGAAACAGAGTCAGTTTCTAGATCCTTGAGTTTTGAAAACTGGCAACTTCTTTCAGAGTGAATTGGTTTGTCAGAGAAGGCAGTGGCGACATCCATATCAATTTTAGTACAAATCCCTCTGGTATGAACAGCAGCAACTCTGTTCTGCAGCATTTTAAAACTCTTTTCACTAACTCAGAGTACAAGTTTTGATGTAGAAGTAGCTTCTAGTGTGAGTAAAGAGCTAGATTTTTAACTTAGATGCAGAAAGGGAAATTGAGGAATGCCAGAATTCCCCAAAAGACTAACTTCCTGGTTTTATCAGCTTTGCAGGAAACATTTGACTACATCAATACGATTGCAATATGCTCAGTTAAGTCACCTGGTCTGAAAGAGCCACTTTTAACAGAGACAGGGCACAAAGGCAACTCTCGTCCTCTGAGGCTTTTTATAATGATGGGCAATTTACTGTCCACAGTTTTTGTGTTAGTGGGGGAAAATGTAGCTGGTATATGTGCAGCTTAAAGATTGCTTTAGGGAATTGAATTCTCTTCAGTTTTGAAAAGGATTGTTCCTCAAGAAAATTGAGTTTGTTTATCAGAGATTGTATGTCAGAGATTATTCAGAGATTTTATCATGTTTAATTTTGTATGAGGTCTTTGTTAATTGTTTTACGTGCACTTTTATTATACATGCATGACAGAAATATTCTGGTGTTATGCATCACAACAGGAAAGCAGCTTTCAGAATAAGAATCTATTGAAAATTTTTCCCATTTTCATGCTAAAGGACCTCTAAAACTATTATATGAAGTCAGGGGTCAAAATCACTTCTCATCCAAGATAGAAAAGGATCAAGATGAAAATATTATTGTTTTCAACTAGTAAGACTTTTGTAACATGAACTGCTGTCAAATTCACAGCTGGACAGTGGCAATACTCCAAAGTATTCCTAGAAAAATTAAAAAACCTTCTATCCTTTGATTTCACCTAGACATCCAAGGAAAATACTGAAATGCTATGTATTCATCTGGGTTAATATAAGCTAAATAACCATTTACTATACTTTTCTAATGAGGAGCTCAGCTGCTTACTACTTCAGAGTTGCTGCTGTATAAACCATCAGACACTTCAGGAAACAAGGTGAAGACATGAACAGCAATGATTTTGTCACAGACGGCATTCCTCATATCTGATAATTCCACACCTGCATAGAAGATGCTGTTTGTGAACTGAATATGACAGACAACCCTTGGTATTTGATGCTTTTGCATCATGGTTGTAAGGATCACTAGGACATAGTAAATGTCCTAGTACACAAGCACGGTAGTTCAGCTTTTAAAAAGTAATAGCTCTCATGAGTAAGGGAACTCTGACAATGGATGGAAGGACAAACGTTACTGTCACAAAGCTGAAACTGAAAAGCATTTCTGTTTTCAGAAAAGTATAATTCTCTTGGTGGTATAGATTAGGGTTGGTTTACAAATAACCAGCTTTACACAAAGAATATTAGGTCTTCACAGATGTCACAGTTGTCACAGTAGTTTAAATGCACTTTTGAGTGGACAATTAGTAATGAGAAGGAAAATCACCAAGTAGAAGTCTGAGAAATGGGCTGAGTTTTGCTTCAGCTAACTGATATATTTTTTGTTAGTATGTCTGTATTGACGGAGGAGGCCCGGTGATGGTGGAGCCTCACCCATTGTACCCAACTAATCCTTAGAAGCACCCTGGGGCTGTCCAGGGGTCCTGGTCTACGGGAAGTCATCCAGGTGAAGAGAGCCAGGCCATGGCAGACTGATAAGTAGACAAAGGACTGTGAAGACTGACTAAAGACAGATGGCAGACTGATAAGTGGACAAAGGACTGTGAAGACTGACAAGTGGATGAAGGTCATCTAGAGGGTGGCTGATGAAGATATGACCACCAGGGTGCCTGTAACTGCTAACACTGGACAGTAGATGATAGCAAAGACTGTGAAATAACGTGTAGCTAATCAACTAATCAAAGGTGTGTTTAGAATAATGATTTTGTAGAGGAAGAGGGTATGCCTTGTAAGGTAAAAAGGTGTGAACTAGATCTGTAATAGGTCAGGCGGTTGGGAAGAATGTGAGCCCCAACTTCTCAGCCCATGAGAAGAGAGACAGTAACTCAGGCGGCCGGGATAAGGGTATAAAATATCAAAAAGCTAACGGGTTGGTGTGTCTCTGCTTTGAGATGCACCCGATTCAGCGCTGTTTCGTATAATAATTTTTTATACCTTTGCTTCGGCGATTTTGTCCTTTTAAATTCTCAGTGTGAGCTGGTGTTTCTCACAGAAGGCATGCTCTTGTCCCATCACCAGAATATGGTAAGAAAATCGTGCCTCACAGCAATGACTCATGAAGACTGGAGAAGGCTTTCACTAATGCAACTATTCTGCATAATTTCTCTTAGCACCTTTTGAGTGGGGCAGGAGAGACCACAGACAATTTCAAAACAAGAGACTTGTTCGCCAGGAAGTTTAGTTTTTTCAACATGTAGAATTCCTGCATCACTGTGGGTAACCAGCCGAGCCGTAGAATTCCTGCATCTCTAACTGGGACTAACGAGTCACAAGGCTGGTTCCTAAGTCCCAGTAGCAGGCTACGCTGAAGAACTATTATTAAAAAGTTGAGATTTACCATAATGTAAATTAGTTGCATAAAAAGACACCGGTTTGGTGATACTGACTATGTGATAAAATAAGATAGCTACTTTGAGGATGCACATCCTGAGTGTGATATCTTTTGGCTCCTATGTAATCATATTTTGAAGTGTTCTGACAAAGCATTTAAATGAGATAGCTCATGATTTGCATTCTGACAGCAAAGCCTTCTCTGCCAAGACGCACCTGCTCCATAGGAGTGCGCAGAATGGCAAAGTTTTCCCACATGTACAAGATCATTCTGTGAAACCTTGATGGTTCTCCTTACCAGTACAGGTACTTCCCTTGCTTCAAAAAAGATAAGAAACAGAACCATGATTTTGATTAACCAAATAGACAGCTGCTTCCTTGGGCAAAAAAAATTTAATCTGATGGAAGCTATGTAATAAAAGAGATGTAATGGCACAGTTCAATGGACTCTGGAGGTATAAAAATCTAGGAAGATGATAAAGCCAAAATAAAGTCAAATAGGCAAAAGTTATTAAAACTGATGGATAAGTCAGTAATACCTGGTAGAACATTATTGCCTCATACCAGAACAAGACAGGTATGTTCTGAGATATCATCACTGAAGTATGAAATATGATCCTATGTATTTCATAGTGATTACATTGTTACAGAAATATAGTGGTACTTAAATATTGGGGGACATTATGAAGATTTAGAAGCCACATGAAAATTCTCAGGTGCCTCACTCCCTCTTTGTTCCCTAATATTGGAAGACATACAAAGCCATACATTTTCCCATTCATTTTATTTTGGAAGTGAATTGTCACCTCAAATCTACATTGAAAAATAAGATAAAAATAGCCATGATGTTTTGACTGAGATGCTCACTCAACGTGGATTCTGAAGTCATTGGCAGAATTTTTACTTCAATATCCATATTAAAGATGGCAATGCAGAACTGGGACTGAGCCGCGATGACAGTGCCTACTTATTAGACATGTCAAGTTTAACGCTGCAGTCCTGTAAGCAGTCAAAGATAAGAATTTATCCTCCCTTCTTACTTGCCACCATATTGTTTCTTTTACTGTTTTTCCACAAATGAAACTACGGCAACCACCCAACCCAGGAGGTACTGAATGCTGGACCTGCCACCAACTCTAACCCCTTAGATATTATTTGTATATCAAATAAATCATTTTTGACAAAACGGAAAGCCTTTGTACGTCACAGTTTTGAGAAACAGGCATAACCTCAAAAAAACCCAGAACTATCTTGTGAATAAGGGAGTCAAGGAGAACTTAAGGCATTTGGGTGGCACAGTGTTTGTGTTACCAGGGGTAAACCACCTCTCTGGTTTCAGCCTTTTCATTTTCAAAAATTGGCCTAAGTTTAATAATTTTATCCCTCCATCATTCTTTCTAAAGTGAAATGAATAAAATGGGAAAATTGTTTTATTCAACAGTGTTTTCCTAAACATTAGTCTCTCTCTTCCCTTCCATGTTGTTTCTCTCCACTAATATAGCTGCATAATACACTCTGAACTCTCTACTGACAGAAAAAGAACCAGTAGCACCCTTTGGCAAGTGGAGATGCAATGAAATTAATAGAAGTTGAAGAATTATTGTACAGGCAATTTCTAGCTATTGAATAAGAATTTTGCACATCTGCCACTTCGGATGTTTTCCAGACTTGCTGTTTTGCAAATACCAATGAAACACTCACTGGAGCCGGGGTTTCCTTTTTATTTTTTAATATCAAGTTGTATAATTGAGAGAAGTGAAGCACACAGAGGGTACAGTTGCATGAACAAGAAAAGAATTGAAAATGTGTCCTGACTGTTTTCCAAAACTACAAATCGGTTTCAGATGTTATTTCTATAGACAAGGCAGGAATAGAAACACAGGTGTGCATGGGAGCACCCAGCCAAACCAGTTTCAGAGCACAATAGGTAAGATGTAGGGAGTTGTCATTTGACTCAGCTTCGCCTTGCTTTGCCACATCCTTACCTATGCAGAGATAATTTGGGGGGAATTTCGAAAACAGCTCAGCTGGGCTTGTCTCAAGATTGCATCACAATAAGAATCGAAACCCCAATTGAGCCTTGAATAGTCCCTTAACAAACAAAATGCCTGGGAGTCCCATCCCACTACTATGCAGTGACTTTGAGTCCCTTCCAACCCCATATCACACTGTGATTCTGTGAATAACAAGAGATCAAAAGTTTATGGAATTAAATGACGAAATTCAAATAGCCTATGAACTTCTCCATTGCCTCACATGAAACACAAACAAAAATGTAGACTTTAAGGGGTAACACAAAGCTAGTCTTTCAAGGAAGAATAGTTGTGAAGATAAAAGATATGAAGATTCAGTCTCCTGCAAAGGTAAATGATGAACTGAATGATGAGTTCCAAAGGCTACAGCAATTGTGAAATAAATCTGTTCTAGTTGCATACAATAACTTTGGATGTGTTGGTAGAAAACAGCAGGTTTGAGAGGATGAATAATCGCGATGGCCGTTCACTAATCTGTGATTTAGCAAACCCAAAATTTCTTTCCAGCCTCTGTCACATACACCTTCTTGGACAAGATGGCACTTGGCCAAATCATGGGGTCCTCATGTTTCCTACTTTTAAAAAACAGTGGTGATAGCACTTCCCTTCTGCCAAACTGCAACACTGGGCAGAAGTCATATTCTGACTCACCCCAAAGAATGCTGTTATACTGGTATACAACTCCAGCTTGGTCCTCTTTGTATTTTAAAACCACCTAATGTCCCACTGAAATGGGAACTATTGAAAAATGGGATTCCTCCAGTCATAAGAGTTCCAGCAGAGACAGAAAACTTTGGAACAGAAAAGATAAAGTTGCCCCTTAAGGGACAAACCAGTAAAACTCCTCTTTCTGTCCTCTAGCTTACCCATGTAAGTAGAAATACCTGGCTGATGATTTGTGTAAAACTAAAAATAATAATTAAAAAACAGACAAAAAAACCACCCCCAACCCCTCCCAACAATGATTATAATGTGTAAAACAGTGCCAAACATCATGCAGCTATTTTCTAAGCAGGACAAATAGAAAAAAAAATGACCTTCTGTAGGAAATCTAAACAAAACCCAGGCAGGTAGCAATTCTACAAACCTAAACCAGGAAAGTATTTTGCTGAAGTGAAGGCTGCAGAACTGGGCCTTAGGCATCCTCAGGCCAATAGTATAGAAATACTAAGTTCAGACACTTTCCATATATTTATTTTTAAGTACTGAAAAAAAATTTGTGGGAACTAGAAAGTCAATGCGTCATATCTATGCAAAATAACCTATAGTCTACTGGTAATCCCTTCTGTGTTGCTAAATCATTTAGATATTGTTGTTAACAGCTTGGCAGAAGAAAATTATCAGTTCAGTTCTGTAGTCGGATCAAAATGCCATACTTACAACCTCACAGCATCCTACTATGATACTTTTTGTTTCATAAAATAAGCATTTCAATTTCAATGAGAAGACATGCAGAGCAGTGTAACAACATGTGAAAGAGACAGCATCTCTTTCAGAAGACTTTAGAAGAAAATGTAAGTAAAGAAAATGTATGAAATACATTTGAAGGGTGCAGAGATTTTGATTTCGTAATCATAATTTTCAGAATGCTTCTGAAACTGAAATGAATAGCGTATTTAACAGGAGCTTTAAACTGCTCTCCAGACTCTTTAAAATGGGGGAAGGGAGCAAAAAGCACTAGAGGGAGCTGCTGTTCTACCGAACCCGTTTGGACTACTTGTTTTTCAAATTAATTGTTACCTGCTGGAGTGAGACAAGTGCGAGCACTCGTCTCAGCTCTCCAGTACTGAAATAACAGTACAGTACTCAAAACCAACATCAGACAGCAAGGACGCAAACCATGAATTCTGAAGCAGAAGAGAATAACAGAACACTTTAAAAGTCTATAATACTTAATAAGCCTTAAAAAATACTAAAAGGAGCTGGCGATCAGCATCTGAGTAGGCTTACAGAAATATTTTTTATAACCCATCAATAAAAATCCTCATTGACTCCTTGCCTTTTGTGGGCACAGGATTTGCTCTAGAGGGAAAAATGACACAAAAGAAAGGATACCAGGAGGAAGTTGCATAGACAATCTCACGTTAATTGAGCAGTTTCATAACCACTTGCCAATAAATCCACGTTTCTAATACTGAAACCTTTTTTCAACCAAAGATGTGCAGATGATGTTAAAGGACTACAAATTCACGATTAACATCGAATTTACTGAAAAAAATCCCAAGAAATTAGGTTAGGAAACAAACAAAAAAAAAGGTATTGAGAGAGGGTTAGAAAAGTCAAACTAGAGACAGGTAAGAAAATCTTAATTGCCGCCACGCCACAAGTAGGTAAAAATTTATCATTTTAATTAATCAAATCTCACACTGCTTAGTAGTGCCCAATCTATAGCCTTTCTGACTGTTCAGAATGTGGTCTCATAATCAGCCCCTGCCCACAATCTTTCCAGGACTGTGCTTTACACTAAATCCCCTGAGTATTGCATCCTATCAACTCTTCACCAACTTCTTCCTCAAGGAGGCAGAACGTTCCTTCTTACCATTTTTTTTGGTCATTGCTGAATACCTGGCTGCTCTCCTAATATCGAAATTAAGTACTTAACCTCATGGCATAAGCTGATAAATTAGCTAAATTTATTAATTTCAGACACACAGTGTGTACTGTATCTACCACCACAATTAATGACTGAATCTCCATTTTCTCCAAAATGGAGATTACGGAGAGCCTAATTTTTACATCTTTGGTCAATCTGTTATGCATTTTGTACCCTGTATATGTAACCACTCTGCAGGTGTGACAGTTCTGTTGTACTTTTTTTTTTTTTTTTTTTTCAATTTATCTTACATGGAACAGCTCTGTGTCAGCTCTGCTAAACCCATCTGGAATAATTCAGAAATTAAGATTCTGGAAATTTAGTTTTTTTTTTTTTTTTTTTTTTTTGCGTGTGTGTGTGTGAGTTGTTTTGTTTTGGTTTTTGTTTGTTCAGTTCATTGTTTTTTTTTCTTTTAAAAGTAATTTTCGTCATTTGTATTAAGATTCTGCATCAGTCCTTTCCTGTCTTTGGACTCCCGCAGTCTGCAGTACTGATTGAGCATTAGGAAGCCCAAACTGTACAAAAGACAAATAAGCAAGTTGTCAATGTGACTATATGCAAGGGAGAAAAAGAAAAGGGAGGAATTTTTAACTATTTGGTTTTATGCGGAACAAAACCACTCCATTATCAACCCCACGTTCTGACCACATTTTGCCAGGAAAAGGGGGGAAAATTATAAAATTTTTGCATTTTTGTTTTTAGATGGGTTTAAATGACATCTGTTTAATTTTATTCATTGTATTCACTGTATTTCATGCAGAAGTCCATTATTCTCTAAGAAAATAATCATTCTCAAAGAGAATAAAGTGTAAGACTAGTTTTCCCTTGCAGTGATGTTGAAGCATATTAATCAAGTGTTTTGACCCATAAACTTTACCTTTTTCAGGTAAGCAGAAGAAGGAACTATGAAATCCTTGTTTGACACTAAGAATGTAAAGCAGCAGAAGTTTACTTAATCCACAAATAAATAGCTCATACATTTCTGTATGAGAGTATTTTTACAATACAATATAGAGGGAATGTTACAAATACGATCAAGTCTTCCTCTGCCAAAGGAAATCTGTCTTCATTCTAGGCTAAAATAGATCTACGCCTGACTTCAAATTTGAAATCATATATCTCTCAAAACAAAATTAAAAAAAAACAAACCAAACCACTTAGATCTGAGCTAAACACCTTAGTGCTCCATATTACAAATCCTTCCATGGAGTGATGTATTTCTTAATCTTTTGAATTCTTCAGGAAACTCATTTGAACTACAGCTGAGTGCTCATTCCAGTGCGGGGTATAATCCCCCCCACCATTCAGACAGTTGGCACAGGCTTCACACAGGCCTTCATCTTTCAAATTACCCCTCTGAGAGAAAAATTATCCCATCTTCTACAGAGCTTCACGCTTTTTGCAGAGTGAATGAATGCACAGTATTCACATTTAGCATCCATGGCCAGAACTTACTTTGAAACGCCAGAGAATTTCTGCCTCCTGCTGAAGTTTGCATCTTGCTCTTTCCTTCCTGTGTAGTCTCTCCTATTTGCGTACCCAGTCCTTTTATCTCTGCGCTGTATCAAAAGGCTAGGAATAGTAGCTGTTTGATGCAGCAGAGTATGCACAAATCAATTGTTTTCAACCACAACTACGAACAGGTAAACCGCTATAAAAATGCTAACAAAGCTCACTATTTCAGGACAGAGTGAAAATTTCCCATTTCCCTCGTTAGTTACTCACAGGAGGTCCTGGCGGGCCTGGTTTCCCTGGGAGGCCTGGTTTGCCTCGTCTTCCCTGGAAACAAAAAAAGAAAAACAGATGTTTATGCATGTTGCAGCTAGTAACTGATTTGGAATAAGAATTTTGTTTAAGGGAACGATTTATTGTCTTTCTTATCATCAAAAAGTTCAAAAACTATCCAAAATGAATACCCTGTATCAGCCACGGCAATGCCATCCAATTCTAGCAATTTTAGGATTGTTTTTAATAATTATGACAACAGTGCATCACTATAACATTTACTGTTACATCTTAAAGCTATGTCCCAAATGTGAGTGCATATTTATAGAGTTATAAACAGAGCACCTTGATGAGGTGTAAAGAAATTATATTTTATCTGAACATGCCAGAGTTCGGGAGGTTAAACTGTGCTGCAGTAGTCACTGACTTGCACAGTAAGTACATATGTTCAATACAACCCAATTAACAAACACCCATACCCTTCTTCTCCGGGATGTGAGAGCAAGCAGAAAAGTCATAGAGATTTATTTGCAAAACCAATTCACCTTTCTCATGCAATTACTGCCATTTGTGTATACAATGCATACGTGACATCAGTTGTGTTAAAACTTAAGGTTTTAACAGGTTTTTTGAAAGTCTACTTAAGTTAATGTGAGACTTTCTACTCATAGTCTAAAATACATGCACATGTAATTTTTACAATTTTTTAGCACAGATCTCAATTGAACAACTGTTGTTTTCACACATGCTTTTTTTTTAAAGGAAGAACAACATAAAAATGGAAGTAATTTACATCTTTATTGCCAAGCTGAAATCTGACGCATATTTTTTAGAAACAACAGCTGAGAACAACTAATATCTAGGTCTGGTGGTAAAAAAAGAAAGTATTATTTCCAAAAAGACTAAAATTTTCCCTTGCATATTGAAAATGTAAGTTAACAAAAAGCATTAGGGGGATGTCATGGTGAAAACCTGGCTATAAATAGTTAAAAAATGAAAATGCTCCCTGACAGCTCACAGTTAACTCATGGGGCATTTCTGTAAGCGGAGGTCCCTACTTCTAAGCCTCTTTCTGTATTTCATTAGACGACGATCTCACATAAAGAGCAGAAGTAATCATCTAAGGAGCAGAAAGCGAATCTCAGCTTTGCTCTTCACAGGTGAAAGCCCTGATGTGTAGGAAACCACTCTCACTTTCTGCCTCTCATTAATCTTGATCTATACTGAGGGGAAACAAGATGATGACAATAAGGGTGGAAAATCCCTCTTCCTCACGCCTGCAGCTCATCAGGGTAACCCCTTGCCTATATGCCAGGGACTCTATATATAGGGATTTGAAGCCCTTCAAGTTGAAGAAAGAACTGAAGAAGGGTTGTGGGGACGTATTTCATCCCCTGGGCTGTGCCACATGACATGCATGCTGCTACTGCAAGTTAAGATGTGTGACTTTTGGACTGATGTCTAGTTCAGAAATACAGATGAAAATTCACATTTCCTGATGTTTTTGAAAAACAGTAAAGTTTCCTTAGAAAGTATGAAAAATGGATTGAGAGGTAATTATATAAGTAATAAAAAAAATATAAACTGTTTTAGACTTTAAAAATAGTTCCTCTGAGTTAAAATGATTGATACCGTTGACTTCTTGAAGCACCTTCCTTTTCCTGTTTGGACTTTATTTAAAGTATCCTGAGGATGACACTTAAAATCACAGCAGTCTAAACAAAGTATCAAGGAAGTGTCAGGAGGAAGAAGGCAGGGCCTTGACTGGCAGACACAACTGTGAATGAGGTGTTAATTACACAGGAAAACATGGAATATGTTGGGAAGACAATTTTATTTCTATTTACAAGATGATCTAAAATGTGATTTATGGCATATTGCACAGTCAAAACTTGACAAACTTTCTAAAAAATCAGTTATAAAAATAAAATAAAATTGGAGGTAGCTATTTTTCACTGTCATTTATTAATTACCAGAACACGTACCCAGTGATGCACAGAAGAAACACTCGCCCTATCTTTTATCCAATCATTATATTATTAGTCATTACACTATCTGCCACACGTACAAAAACCCTGTAGAACAATCACACAGACTGGCATGAAGCATCAGCTTTTCCCAGAGGCACAAAAGTCCTCTTTTTCCCTACAAGCACCTTTTCTAAACAGTCTGATATTTTAATGTTAACACAGAAGTATGTAAAAGGCTACTAATTTTCATCAATGTCTTTCACATACAGAGATTTAAATGTTAGGAATATACACAGTTCCACGCGCTTCCCAGTACTCCTGCTTCTCTATGGCTTCCCAGCTTCAGTATGGAAAAAAATAAAATATATAGTATAGAAAGAACGTAAGTAGAGAAAATGAGTTTATGTTTTTGTTTAGGATAATTAAAACAATTAGAAGAATGCTTTTGATAAGTCCATTATGGCCTTGCCTTGAGCAGCCCGTGAGCCAGACTGTGACTAAATATGTACAGTTTGACTCTGAGTCTTCCTTCTGGCAAGAAAGAAGTGAAAAACATCTCGTTGCCTGCCCTGGTTCATCGAGAGGGCTTAGCAGAGAGCCACAGTTCCCATCTCCTGCTCAGGAGCAGGACCCAGAGCTCTGTGAGAGCTGCATTCACTGCCCCACGGGGGCTGTGCGTGGGGCAGGCAGCTGATGCAGGAACCTTTATTTAGTTGAGTTCACTGAGCAAATATTGAGATTATAAAATCACACAAAATATAAATAAATATTCTAGGCATCACACACTTCCTTTAACTAAACAAAAAATGAAATATCACCTACACTAACTTAAAAAAGAGGTAAGCAGTGTCAACAAGTTGTCTAATGCTACTTATAATATCTAAAGAAAAGAAAACCAAAACAGTTCCTGGTTATTTCATTTGTGCCGCATGTATTTTTGTTGGCAATCAATGTGATAAGAAGTTGTCTAAATGTTTCTGATACTCTGCCCTGTACCCTTGACTCATGAAATGCCTGCCCTCAACTAATTTGGGCAGTTGGCTACTTTCCTCTTCTCCGTAAGACAAACTTCAGCTATGAGAAACACACAAATCATTCAAATAGCTGTTTACTCAGGGGCAAAAAAGACAAAATATTAAAAATAAGATAAATAAGAAATTATTTGAGTCAGCAAACCCCAGCTGAGTGCCTAGCTGAAGTACACAGTCAACCACACTCTTTATTCCTCTGTTTTTTCGCCCTTTCTGCTAATCAAAATGACTTGATGAGCTTTGTCTTACATTAGATGGAAAGGCTCTGTGCATCCTTCCATAAGCTTGTGCTCTCATTCTGACAGCTGCCCCGGGCACCGCTGCAGGCCCAACACACAATGCAAGAGTTCAAAATCTATACTGTAACCCCCTGCTGTTTCATGTTGTATCCATCTATTCGCATGTCTCTAACTGCAGAAGAGTAAGATCACTAATCCCAGAGTCTAAAAATAAACTGCAGATTATTTTAGGACAAAATAGAGCAGAGTTATGTAGGAGTGCTGACATGATTAATAATTTAGAGAACCCATACTTCAGTACGAAGGGAAAAGTTCTTAGAATAAGCCCGTGTGAATTTTCAAGGGAAAAGTCTAATTAGCAGTTCCTGAAACACATCATCACATTTCAAAACAGGAACTAGTTCTAGAGAAAGTAGGAAGCTAGGCTTTAAAGTCTTAACTACTGTAGTTATTATGCAAGGTTAATGAGGCTTATGTAACTTGTTTGCCAGGCTAAAATAAGGTTCTCTTGAATAATCCTCAAAATCAGACTGACAAAGGGACAGAGGTACCCAAAGCAGGAGGCGGGTGGAAAGGAAAGCCCCCTGTCTCAGAGTGCCCAACCCATGGACACCCCACCAGCCTCCTGGGCATGCACATGCAGCCATGTGAGTGCAGCTCTGGGCAGTTAAAAGACTGTTTCTCCACGTGCCTGAAGTTGCCACCAAGCAGCCACCAAGACAATTCCAGTGCCTACGCTCATTCAGACTTCAGAAAAGAGGCTTTCCTTTGCTATACCTTTTGCTGAGAGACATTAAAAGAAATAATAATAAAGCATTGGAAGGGAGACTGAAAGTTCTAAATGAGATCTTAAAGCGGAATAATTTCTGCTATTCCATTAAAACTTAGATTTACATTTCTGCATTGGAAAATAACAAAGAAATTAAATAAGGATGGAACTGCTTTCTAGTTGACAAATCTGTCTCCAACATTCTAAATTACAACCTTTTTCATTCCATTTTAAAAGCCAAAGTGGGAAAAACATAATATGTTTTTAAGCTGTATCCTATCTTACTGGTTATTTACTTTGCTTTAAGGTAGAGACATTCTGGTAGAAAAACTGAAAATTATCTCTCTCTTTTATATTAACCATTTTTAGAGTGCTCAATACTTGAGTTAAGGAACTTGCAGCACTCCAACATAAAGATAAAATCTGACTAGAGCTTTACATACTTAAAAACAACTTACATAGAAGTCAGGAAGGACTGAGATGATTAAAAGAGATTCCAGAACTCCAGAGCTGTAGCTGTGAAAAATGCTGTCTGCTCTGTGCCAGGAGCCTGACCTGCTATGCAGTAATTATCATTGCTCTGTAAAGCTTGTTTTATAATTGGTTGAATACAACATTTACTCACTGAACTTGAAAACAAAATATGTCAAAAAAAAATCTAAGTTCTGTAAACCAGTTACATGCCTGAATTTAACTACACCAGGTACAACCTGAATTTAAATTAATTTTGATGTCACTCTAAACAATTACATTAAGAAAACCTAACAGCTCCCCGCCCACCTACTTATTTAGGAAAATCTTCCACTGCATCATAGTAATTTTATTCGTGATTTACAAGAAGAAGAACTTGTAATCTCAGGGTAAATTGATTATTAAATAAAGTAAATGGTGCAATTTCATAAAGTCCCTCCAAACATATAACTTCAGTGAAATCAATGCTAAAACACTGGATATGACAACCCAAAGGACTCTCAGTTTTATGAGATGTTTATTACTTAGATAGTGCTAAAATAACGTCCCCTTAAGTGAAGTATTTGGTATTATAAACACAACAATTGTAAATATGAAAGTTGTTTCAAAAATATTTACTTCAAGACACCTGCAACTTCCCAAGGAATACAGAGTCAAGAATACAGCTGTGGTATCATAAGATTTGTAAATGTTTGAACTGAATTCATCACTTGAACCAGGGAAACCACCATGGTGGAGAATCAGCCTAATACATATGAAACATTTCCAAAAATCCTATCAACCCATGAAAATGAAGTTGTTGGCAGCTCTGCTGAGAATAAGCTATAGCTAGTTAAATAAAACCCACAGGATTGTCTGGGTTGGAAGGGACATCCTGAGATCATCTAGTACAATCCTCCTCCTCGAGAAGACTCAATTATCCAGAACTGTGTCCACTTGACTTTTGAATATCTCCACAGATGGATACTCCACAACCTCTCTGGGCAACCTGTACCAGTATTTGACCACTCTCATAATAAAAAAGTGTTTTCTTGTGTTCACATGGAATTTCCTGTTTTTTAATTTGTGTCCATCAACTCTTGTCCTGTCTCTGGCTACTACTGAGGAGAATCTGGCTCCTTCTTCATTACCTCACATTAGGCATTTTTACACACTAATAAGATCCCTCCTGAGCTTTCTCTTCTCCAGGTTGAAGAATCCCAGCTCGCTCAGCCTCTCCTTTTATGAAAGATGCTCCAGTCCCTTTAATCTGCTTTGTGGCCTTGTGCTAGACCTACTTCAGTAAGCCAATGTCCTCCTTGACATGGTCTCGCCAGTGTTGAGCAAGGAGGAAGGATATCTCCCCTGACCTTCAGCTCACTTCAGCTCACAACTATGTTCCTGCTTTTTCATTGCTCTGCAAAGGAAACAAGCTATATGTGTCTGAAGTTCATTATTTGTACTACCTCATTACTCATGAAGGTTGCTCTTCTCCTGCATAAGCCAGCTACGTGCAGATTGAGAAGACATAACAAAGGAGATGAGAGGAAAATGTGCCACAATAAGTGGAGAAAGAATGGGAATTAACAAGTTTACTTGTATAAACATAAATACACTTGGTAAATGCTGGACTATTAATGTGTTTGTTTATTCAGAAAAAATATTTTTGTGTTTTCCTACTACACCAGTATGAAAGAAGTAATATGCATAAGAATCCAATTTTTATTTCTTTATTTGGTTCTTCTCTGTGACTGCACTACTTCAATTTTTTAGTGAGTTTGGAATTTTCTCTTAAGCAAAGCCAGAAAATAGAGCATGCACGCTCATACATGATCCTTTAATGCTGCATGGATCTAGTCAAAGAGCTTTCAAGGCTTCATCTCTTTTATTCTGAATGCCCCCCCTACAACTTATTTCTGTAAACACAGAACTTTAGTTTATGCTGTTTTCTGCAAACTCTTTTGTCCTTCGGGATATCTGGAAAGCATCCAGGGAGACCAACTCGGACAGAAGACATTTCACACACATCTGACATCAAGTTCCATGGCTGACTTATTTGTGTGCCATCATTTAAACACGTAAGAACCTAACCTGCTCTTTGACGTGGGAGCAAGATCATAACCCAGCATGATCTTACAATAGTAATGCATTGGGTCACCAAGCCAGAGAAAGTGACGTATTTATTATTTTAATAATGACACATTACCTCAAATGATACCACACAACTCTATCCACAGTGTATCCAGTGGACAAAAGCTGTTACCCCATCTTGAAATGTCTTGATCCCCCTTTGCTCTTGAAATGAATAACCTGCAGTCATCAGCTCATTCAGTGATGTAAATTTGCACTTGTGAGCCAATTTCACACGTCAGTAAGTATTTTAAAGTTGGCATAACTTTGAACTAAAAATCTGCAATTCATTTAATCTTTGTTTATTATAATTACACAATGATATATAATTCTACTTACTCTATTTCCATAATTATTATTATATGTATTTTTACTACGTCATTTTTGATGCAGATTATTCCTGTGAGGTGAAAGAAATCCTGCTACTTAGACTTATTCCTCTTAATAGGGATATATTTGTCCTAGTTCCCTCTATAGTGAACACAGGGAGATGGGTGGCCACTCTGGGACAGGGTCCCACCTTTGATGTTTCTTAGTAGTTCTAATACTAAACTCTGATGTTGGATGATAGGATAAAATCCCACTTAAAACACTCTGAAAATGAAAATGCATGGCTCAGGCCAGTTCAAAGAAGGAAGAAATCCACAATTTTATTCCCTTTCTATCTCCTTTTGTACTGCCACATACCTAAGTCACTAGCTCTAACATGAGCCTTCCACATGTTTCTTTGAATTTTTGACAGTATAATAATTAAGACTGTTCATTTTCCTCAGTTCCTTATATCTTGCTTTAATGTGTGTTGAGAGGTCTCTAGCTTACAGACTTCTCCTCTCAACTCCTTATTAATCTGAGTTTAATTTTCAAAGAAGTTAAACACTTAAATAATGCTGCTGAGGTAAGCGGAAATTAAAACTTTGAATATAATAAGTACAATGTGAGTGGAAAGTTTAAAAATAACTCAGGTTCTTAACGTATGGCGTACAAATTGAATAGATACTTTCAAATGTTTTGGAATGTTGTTTTCTTTTTCCTAATATGTTACAGTTCCAGTCTGCAAAATTGGCATAATATTATTCTTACGGCTGAACAATATATTGAAGAAAAATCATCAGCTAGTTACACGCTCAATATCATGCTTTAATCTTCCAAAGACAGTCCATGACAAACCAGTAACTTCATATAATGTGAAAGATTTGGAGGATCTGCTGGAAGTAGAGCAGAGGAACACGATATTTATAATTAAATAAAAAGGAATATTTAATAGCCATTACATGTGCTCTGTCCTGTTTGTAATCAAACATAGCAGAGATCTTGTTACAAACAGTATATTATTGTGTAATTAAATGTATTGGAAATGCAAACGCACATGAGAGCTGAATTAAGATTGCAAACTGTGTTATTAATGCTCGGGTGGGGGTGGCCAGCAGAAAGAGCATTGTTGGGAGCATCTCACTGGTAGAAAGATAAAGACAGATGCTGAGGCTCTACAATTTGCTGTTTCCATTGTCTGGCTTAGGGCAACTGTGTGCATGGCCACGATTATAAACCCGTCAGTGCTCCTGGTTTTATAGATAGTGGAGTGAGACAGCAGCTCAACTTCGTGTGCAAAGAGGAAAAGTCCATGATGAATGTATCAAGCCCCTAATTCCCACTGCAAAATGGAAAAAAAAAAGTATTTCCAAATTCATTTATCCACCATTATATATAATAGTGTATTATCTCTGAATCTTTGCCTCAAAAAATTAAGAAGTTCAGAGTGATGTCTCTAAAACGCAGCCACATTTATAACTGTTCCTAAAGGAAAACTAATAAATCGTGTGTTTCAGCAAATTCAATACTCCACAGAAAAGCACTCTAAAATATGCTAAAACTGGATAGCCATAGCTTTTCTGTATCTTGGATATTTTATTGCTTAACAGTAGGAGTCATAGTAATTATAATATCTTTAATAGCATGCTAATATGCTATTAAATATGCTTCAATAGCATATTCACCACATAACTTTGGGTTCTCCCTTACTATATTGACATTTTTCTGAATGGCTTCCCATTCCTTTCTAAGAAACTTAAACAGCTTTCAAATTTTCCTGTTCACAATTTAATTCATAAAAATATTGAAATGTTTGATTCTGAATATCTTCCCAAATTCTTAGGAGCAGACTAGATTATAAACTCTCAAAAGGGAATTATTTCTTGTGATACCACAATCATAAATATTTGTTATCTCTTCCACTGAACTATCAAATTCAGTAAGTCAGGGAAAACAAAAGCATAACACAGAGAAACCAGTCAGTCAGCTGTTTCATTATATTAAAATATGAATAATCAATCATTTATTTTGTGTCTTTGGTATAATCTTTTCCCCTCACCCCTTACTGTCTCTCTCTTCTTTGTATATATATATGTTACGCTCTGACATTTGCATAACAGCATTTACAACAGAACTTGGGTCACTAGTACTGGTTTATGTTAATATCTTAGATAATGACTCTAAATTAATATTTTTATATATTTTAGAAATAGTAGGTATGGTCTATCCCCACAATAAAATGAAAATTTCTGAGCAATCTTAATATTCTTTAACTTAAAATTACAGCAGAAACTTGTTGCAGAAATGGCAATATCTACATCTGTGCTGCCAGTCATTAAAACACTTTAGATAGTTGAAATTGCTAAATCTCCTTCAACTGAAGAGAAACCTCAAATGTCAAAGCTCAGTTTGTTGTCAGCATGCTTCATACTCAGCTGCTACCTTCCCATTTTTTATTAGTGCTTAGAAAGAAGTCACACATCAAGGTCAGTTAGCACACTCACCAGTTGTTCACCAGTTTACTCACCCTTTGACCTTCTTTGCCAGGTGGACCCTGGGGACCCTCCAGCCCTGGCAAACCCTGAAAATACAAACATTAAACAAATGTTTGACAAATGTTAATTAAACATTAAACAAATGTTTTAAACAAGCAACATTTACTGGTTTTTTCACCCACTTCTATAGAAGTAAGATCAAGCCAAAGAGCTAGATGTCAAGACCAAACAATTATTCCTAATAAAAATAGGCTATTCATAATAACTTATTTCAGGATAATGTTATATTCACATGCAAGAAAAAAAATGCAAACAATAATTATTAATCACATTCCTTTATACCAAGGCTGAATCATTTGGAAAATAGGAAGTAAGTCAGCACTGCTTAAGCATCACTACATTTAACTACAGGGCTGTAAGAAAAGTGGTTTATGTTGCTGTTACCCCATCTTGTAAAGTTGGGATGCCATAAGGAAAAAAAAAGTTATGTTAAATGAATGACAACTTAATCTACAACCCAAATTCAAATATAGGCACTGAAGTGGGAGGGGAAGGGAAGGGGAAAGGGAAGGGGAAAGGGAAAGGGGACTAAATTTAGCAGAAGGCCTTATGCTCACTGCATTGTAAGAACCAGCCCCATGCAACTTCCTCAGTGCCTGGCTTGGCTTTTCAAAACCCCTTCAGACCCCTTTGCAGTCACAGACAGAATCATAGACTGTTTCTGATGCTTTGGGGCTTTAATTTTATATCTGAATAGTGGGCAATATAATCATAAAGCCTTCAAATACCAGCTCTGTACTTAGAAGAGTGCCTCTCCCCTTTACTTTATGAGTCACCTTGGAACACAATTAAAAAACATCACTTTGAGGAAGCTATCCAATTTCCATTATAGCAACAAGAAATACGAAATCACTTTCAATGTAATCAGCAAAGAGCACTGAACAGTGCTTGTTTGTATAATCAAAAAAATGTTTGAATGTAATATTGCATGTTCTTACAGGGTATCACAAAATTAATTATACTTAGGTTATTGAAGAGTTTGAAATACTAAAATATTAAATTCTTAACCATTTAAATTACTCAGACTCAGGTATTACTTCAGCTTGAGTTATGTCTTTGGTGAAATTCTGAACTCCTTATTTAGAATCAATTACACACATTTATTGCCCCAATAAGGGTAAACTGAAGCCCCCTGACAACCAGGTTTTTAAAAGGTGTCCAGATTTTCAGAAATTAATTTTAAAAGTTCATTTATGATCTCTAATTCCCAAGATAAACTTGAGAAAGTAAGTGGGCATGCCAAAGCTGCTAGCTCATGTATCTTCAAGTGATGTTTTAAGTTGATTAGAATGAAGTCTGACTTCAATTTTTAATAAAAGTAGTCAGTTCAAGAGTTTTTCTGTTCCTATCATTTCTCTACTTTCAAATACTAAAGCTAGAAGAGTACCTCAGACAGTGTTTCACTACAGTGCATTTCTCCTTTCACTTCAGTTTACGATGCAAACAAGATAAGGTTTAGGATCTTTTACAAAACGATGCACACCATTTTCATCCTTCTCCAAAAGTTTACGGAAATAGAATATGCATGACAATGTTGTGTCCAACAAATATATCACAGTAAGTTAATTACAGTGCCATTACATAGCTTATACATGCACAAACCCACAGTTTGTGAATGTGACCTCTGCAACCTTCTCTACTTTTTCCTCATGGTAATTTTGAACTTGCAGAGAATTCTGTCTGTCCAACTGTTAGCAATATTCTACCTTTGTAGAGAAATTCCAGGAATGCAGGAAGAGGTGGAGTTTTGTTTTGTTAATATTTCATTTCTAGTGACAACTTTATGCAGGGGAATGAGGCAAGAACCTGTAACGTCAGTTTTAAGGAGGAGGAAATATATATATATATATATATACACCCCATATATCTGTACAATAAGGCTCCAAAGGGACAACAATTACACAATAACTGCACAATGAAGATAATTATTACCCAACATTTTCGTCCAAGACCTACTTTCATCCTTTTTCTTGTCTTTACAATATTATTGTGAAGGAAAAGAAACCAGATAAGGAGGTTTATCTTCAAGGAAAGGGAGGAGAGCAGCTTACAATTGGTAACGAGGCAGGGAGGACTACCCTGTACAAGGAGCCACATCCTGACATTGAAACTGAGGTAAAAGTTCACACTAACTTCAGCGGGATCTTTGGTCTAAAAGTGATAGGACAACATGGGCCACGTTAACTAACACGGCTGTAAAACTGTAATAACTTGGCAACGGTAACAACTTAGTAATGCTTTCCCTGTTCAGCATTCACTGAATGAGATCCTGGAAAAACAATTGAAGACAAAGCTGCAGGAGGAATAAAAAAGAAAACATTTCCACAGTGAAATCTCTCTAAAGGGATGAAAAAAAAATGCCCCGTTGAACTCCTATAAAATTTGACAATGGGTATAACATTTTAGCACAGAAAAGAAGTATGTATTTGTAGGAAGGCAGACCAAAGTATCTACTTATCCCTGCTTAATTCCAGAAGATTTCCTTTGGAGATCAAAGACCAGATTCTCGACTCCCTCAAATCATGGAAGGCACAGTGGGTAGACAAATTCCACCAAAGGAGCACCGCACCGCAGACAGAAAGGGATAGAAATAGACTGAATATATATACAAGTGGCCTCATGGGATATGCTGTCAGTTATGTTGAAAACATGTCAGAAGGCAATCTATTTTACATGTACCATCTCCTCAGGTAGACAACATCCGAAGCAATAACAAAGATTCCCTATGTGTCACCCTGATAGTCTTGTGCTGGCAAGAGGATGAGTATGGCGATGAACAGAAGGAGGTGCAGGAACAGCACAAGGCAAAGTGACATAAGAACAGCCTATTCCCGTCACACCAGACTGGCAGGAAAATACAGTCTGTTCTTCCAGGTAGCCTAATATGCACAGGATTTTCCTGACTCCTTCAGGCCACCTTTGAGGTTGGAAGATGGTACCCTTCTACCTTCTTCATGGAGAAGTGACCTAAAATAACCTATGCAGTTTTTAAGTTTGCATCTGTCATGGGCCAGACAAGACCCTTGGATTTATGTGTCTGAAGGAGCTTGAGGAACATGAAGTGGAAAGGTCTCAAACATTACCATGAAGTTTGGAGGAAAAAAGTCAGTAAGCTGGAGATGGGCTCAAGAGCATCTGAAGCTTCGAAGATCTATTACAATGAGTGAGGATGGCAATGAAAAGAAATAAAACGTGATGCACAGGCAGGCACAAGAGAGCTATACAAAATCTTGAAAATTAAGTTAAGAGCAGAACTTGTGAATTCCTTTATAGGAGGTAAAACCAGAAAGGAAGATGTGGCAAGGGAAAATATGCTGGTTGTGAAGCACAAACTCACAGATATTTAAACAAAATATCATTGACACTTAAACTCAGCTTTAGTCAAGGGAACACAGGAAAAATGACATATTGAAAATGCTATGGTAGAAGATGTGAGCTTTAAAACAACTTGTATCTCATCGAAAATATCTGCAGGAATTAACATTTTAATAGTTAACAGTTAATATTTTTTGCAAGTATCAGGAGAGAAAAGCTACAACTGTAGAAGAAAAATGTGTTTGGAAGTGATAGAAAAATCAACTAACAGTTCAGACAGTTACGCTGTTTTAAGTTTCATAAGCTATTGATTCAAAGTGTATTAGTTGGCATGTAGCTATCAGAAGTCATTTATTTCAGAAGGGCTAAAATCCTGTCATGTGACCGTGCGGGTACAAAAACATGTTAAAATGCCTGATATATCATGACAAGCATCCTCAGAGACACGGTGGAGACCTGGCTCATAAATTTAATAGCCGAGTAACTGCCTAAAGGACATTCTGAACAAAAGCAAAGCATTTATTGTGACTTCTTCATGAATTAAAACAAAAAAATACAAAAAACACCAACAAAAAAATCCCAGCTGAAGTGGAAGAGTGAAGTTACTTAAAAATATTATTTCTATTACTTCCTCTGGAAGCTTATGGCTGATGCCAAAAGCGTGTTTAACAAATGTTAGACAAGTAAGTATATTTTTGGTATTCTGAAAGTTGGTTCAAAACATAGGTGTTAGTTTTCGAAGCAGAAGGCTAGACAGCTGCCTTATGCACTCACAGGTAACATTGCTGAAATAGATTCTGAACAATGCAGCCTTTCCTTTACAAGATACAAATAAGATACAAATAAGAAATATAATACAAATGCTAACAATAATAAGGCAGGTCTAATTAAGGCACAGTTTACAGGCTGTTTTCTGTGTTCTGTACATAAACTACTCTCATCTGGTTTTTTCCTCACTATGAATTTCAGCAAATGTACGACCTCAATTTTTATGGAATAAATGCTACTAGACAGGGAGAAGTAGTTTAGTGAGATAAGCCAAGCAAAAAAAGAGACAAAGTCTAAATCAGGTATGCAGGAATACCGTGTGGAAATGTAAGCAGAGGTAATTTTTTTTTACCATTTGAAGAGGTGAGCTTTTATAATGATAAAACTTGCTACTATAAAAAGACTCATCTATAATAGACATTTGGCCAAGTGATTTGGAAATAATATGTTTATAAACAAAAAGGTACAGCTCTACTGAAACAAAATCAACAGTAGAATTTTTTTTTACAAGCAAACTAGCGGGCAAATCCCGCTGGAGGGCCTTGGGCTAGTTCTTCAACACACCGTTCTCAGCAGGATGAAGAAAAGCCGCACATGGATGAATTCCATACAATGATCCCTCTCTAAAGCCCACTAGTAGGGCATCACGGAATCACACCAACGAACAGTCAGGTGAAAAGTGACCACTGACTTCCAGATTCCTGACACAACACACATGGTAACCTGCTTGAGGAGCATTCCCCAGCCACCCAGACACTGCTTGTGGGACGGATGGTGCTGCTGTGGCTGCACTCATGCAAGAATGCCTCAGCTGGGCAGGAAAACAGCCAGGATGCAGCTCAATGAAGGCTTAAATTCATCTACTTGTCTGGAGGCGTTGTCAGACAGGAGGTTCTGCTGTGCAAGTTGTGATTGCCACCATGATCCTTCTCACCTTTTCTGA